ATCCATCCTTTGGCCCGTCCATCAGGTGCATCAAATGTCACTCGTGGTTCGTCCGTGAAAATGTCTTTAGAAAAATCAATTTTCATGTATTTCTTGCTTCAAATATGACGCTTTAAAATATTTGTTTTAGTGAGATGAGGTTGACTAAGAGATTTTTTTTTTGAGATTCCAATTCACAAAGTATTCTACACCACTTGTCCTTCTTGATTCCTTCAATTCCAGACGGTGTTTCACTGTAACTCGTTTTAGTTTACATTCATCTCGAAGAAGCAAATTCTTAAAAGCCTTTTCCTTTGCTTCAAGTTGTAAGCTTACTCATATTTTCAACAGCCTTTTTATTGTTCGATGATCTCTGCAAAGCATCTTTGATATCTTCAGTGTGGACATTAACTCACTCAATAACTTTGTTATTTTCAGCAGTTGTTAGATCATTCCCTTTACTCCCATTTCATCATATAGTATAGGCAAAAAGAAAAAAAATAGTTTATATTAGATTTCAGAGGTCTTAAGCTGATATTAGTTTAATCTGCATACTAGCTTCAGTTCGTCCATTTTCATAAATTCCAAATATTTAAGAATCGAACCATTAAAAAATGTCAGAAAATAGTTAAATATTTGCATAAAGGTGGGAATGGACACGGGGCAGGGTTATCAGCTATTTGCATAAAAAGGGGTTTTAGCTCTCAAGGATATTCAGGCTGATAAGAAGAAAAAGAATTCAAATTCAAAAATATCGGTAAAACATTGAAAAACAAAACGAAAGATTTGAGTATTTTAAATCGGTATTTATTTCAGACGAGTATACAATATAAAAATTGATAATGAACAAAATTTGGCCTCGTAGTATTATCAAGTATCTGCAGAGAAATGGTTCAGCAACCAAAGACATTCATGCTAACATGGTTGCTACATAAGGGTATGATGCTCCAGCTTTATCAACAGTGCAAAAGTGGGCAGCTGAATTTAGCAGGATAAGGGAGTGTCACAAGATGACCCAAGGTCTGGACGTCCTGTAACTACTATCATTCAGAAAAACATTAACCTATGTTCACCACATGTTGATAGATGACAGGCGATTAACTATAAATCAAATAGCCAATGTTAATTGTATATCCCGTGAGAGAGATGAGAATATTCTGCAAAATGAACTTGGCAGGACATGGTTGGTATATAAGGCTTATAATAATAATAATAATAATAATAATAATATATAATAACTTATAAATTATATAATAACAATAATATTATAATGAGGTAGATTATTATAATTGATAAAATATATATAATTTGCGCCCTGATCGGAGTTCACTAAAATACATGGTTGAGCCGAAAAGTTCATAGGCGACTATGAATGGGTGATGCCAGAGCTTTGAAATTTTGCATGCATAAATTTCAATTCTTATTTTTAACTGCATTGTTTCTTTCCTAACATCTGACTGTTCAAAGAAGACTTCAAAAATAACAAGTAGCGACATTCTTTGAAAATGGGAAAAATTTGGCACAGTGGTGTAATCAAGTACCTGAAGAAAAAAAGGTTTAGAACAACAACCCCCACCCCAATGACATTCATGCTAACATGGTTGCTAAATTAGGGTATGATGCTCCAGCTTTATCAACAGTGCAAAAGTGCGCAGCTGAATTTAGCAGGATAAGGGAGTGTCACAAGATGACCCATGGTCTAGACGTCCTGTAACTACCATCACCCAGAAAAACATTAACCTTGTTCACCACATGTTGATAGATGACAGGCGATTAACTATAAATCAAATAGCCAATATTATTTGTATATCCCGTGAGAGAGATGAGAATATTCTGCAAAATGAACTTGCATGACCAAAGTTTCTGAGACCTGATCAAAAGCGTACGAGGCTGATCATACCACGGAAAAAACTGATATTTTTCGAGGTAGATTCAACTGGTTTCCTTGAACGTTTCCTAACTCAGCGTGTTGGGTTCATCACTTTGACCCAGTGACAAAGAGACAATGCATGCAATGGGAACACCTCGCCTTACCTGCTCCAAAGTAGGCCAATGTCGTTTCATCTAAAGGGATGGTGATGGCCTCAGTTTTTCTGGATGCAAAATGCATTGTGTTTATTGACCATCTTCAAAATGACCACACTATCAATGGAGAGTACTATGCCAACTTTCTGAGGCAGTCACGAAAGGCTATCAAAATCAAACGTCTAGGAAAACTGACGGAAGGAGTCTTGTTTCACCGGGATAATGCTTCAGCACACACGTCCTTGATTTCAATGACTTCTGTGCGTCACTATGGGTTTTAACTGATTGGTCACCCTCTCTATTCTCCTAATTTGATCTCATCTAACTCTGATCTGTTCTCCAATATGAAAAAAAAACAAAAAAACACATGACTGGTGATGATGACGTCATATCCGCTGTTGATAACTTTTTGACCCACAGGATGAAAGCTTCTTCACCAACGGGCTTCAAGCACTGAAACACTGATTGAAGAAAAGTGTGGACCGCAAGGGGGACTATGTTGAAAAACAAACCTCATTTGTTCACATTACATCAGAGTATCTTGATTAGGCTATGAACTTTTCAGTTGACCCTTTTACATTGAAAGTTCAAAATATTGTGAACTACACAAAGTTGAGGGTAGATTTTAAGAGAATGTAGAATGTAACTCACAATTCTGTGCTAAATGGATGACAGAATAGAGGGTTGGAGGGATAATAAAAAGATAAACATTACTCAGAGGTAGAGATTTCTGGAGTTTCGATCACCAACTTCCTGAAGAGAGAGAAACGATAACAACAACAAAAGCAAGAAGAAGAAGAAGAAGAAGAAGAAGAAGACGAAGATTTGAGTTGAAATAGTGAAGAAGGGAATTTTGTAAAATTTTGTCAGGAAATTTGTGGAGCTGAAATCATCAGTCAATTCGTTTATTTATTTTTAATTCAAATTCAACAATATCAGTAAAACAGTGAAAAACAAAATGAAAGCTTTTAATATTTTTGAGCGGTATTTATTTCAGACGAGTATACAATATGAAAATTGAAAATGAAAGCTAACAATGAATAAAAATATGCGCCAAAAATGTGTACGAAAAGTTAATGTTTGTTTGATCTCATAAAAAAGGCGGGTGCAACTGCGCATGTCTACAACTGTGACAAGATTACTTTCAAATAAAAAGACTGTTATGAAAACAGGCAGGAAAAAAGCTTAACTTTGTTTATGTCAGCAAGAAATCAACTTTCTGCTTCTTTAGTATTTTAATTTGATCCTTCATTTTGTAAAGGGCGATATCAGCATTTTCAGTTATACAAACGAGACGGCATTGATTAGAGACGAAAGGCTACAATTGACATTTACGTTGAATTATTTAGACCCGGCACTGATCGACCCACAAATAACGGAAAAGGAAAATGAAGCCATAGATGTTTCAAGGGATATGAGATGACACAGACACACACACACGCACACACATATACACATGTGTATGTATATATATATATATATATATATATATATATATATATATATATATATATATATATATATATATATATACATGTATATATATATATATGTGTATATATATGTGTATATATATATACATGTATATATATATATACATGTGTATATATATGTGTATATATATATGTGTATATATATATATGTGTATATATATATGTGCATATATATATGTATATATATATATATATATATATATATATATATATATATACATGTATATATATATATATATATATATACATGCATATATATATGTATATATATATATGTGTATATATATACATGAATTATTAGTGGGATTTGAATAATCATAAATAAGTAATTCATCGAGTTTAGAAGAAACCTCACCAGAATGCAGAAAGCACTGGACGGCCATTTCGTCCTATTTTGGGACTCATCAGCAGTGCGCATCTCTTACCGGACCAGGATCTTTACGATATGACATGTCATACCGACTAGACCAACGAGTCTCAGTGGACAAAACGGCCGTCCAGTGTTTTCTGCATTCTGTTGAAACTCGATGAATTACTTATATATATATATATATATATATATATATATCGTGGAGAGAGAGAGAGAGAGACAGAGAGTGAAGGGGTAGAATGAAAGAGAGAGAGAAATAATGCCTGACAAAACAATTAAAAAAACGGAGAAATTAAAATTTTTTAAATAAAAAATACATTATTTTTATTGAAAAAAAATAATAGAAAAGCTGAAAATGCACTCAATTCTTATTCTCTTTTAAAAATTTTCTTAAATCTAATTTAAAAAAAATTAGATTTCTCCCCGGGCAAGGTGGTAATGCCGCTAGTGCGTAGCAGGTTACAGGGAGTGAAAGTGAAAGAGACGCGCGGGAATAGGGAGGACTGAAGAAAGAACAAAAGATGAACGGAATTCAAGAAGAAAAAAGATAGCGATTGACGTTGCATTTAAATGTTTTTAGATTGTAGTTATCAGGGAAGCAAGAAATTGGAAGGGAGTTCCACACGCGGGAAGTGCGAGAAAAGAAACTGTTGAAATAGGAGTAGCGGTTGCATTTAGTTATTTCAAAAGTGAAAAGGAGAGACGCTTAAATTCATGTCGTCGGGACACCAGCGGGGGGGGGAGCTCGTCAGTGCAATTGCTATGAAAATATTTATAGAAAAATCAGAAAGAAATCACATTAAGTCATTGAGAAAGTGACCGAAGTCGTGATGCCCGGGCCGGGTCGATTACATTACAGATCCTTCTTTGGATTTTGTCAAGAATCACGTGATGCGTGTGTGTGAGTGTGTGTGCGTGTGTGTGCGTGTGTGTCTCAGTGCGGACATAGGAAGCAACACTTTATAGTGACTATCAATTTCGTTTTTTAACACGATCTTTAGTACAAGATGGCATTGAAGCGTAAAACTGATTGTGAGGGATGTAGTGTTGATAATAGCTTAATGGAAGCATTTTTAGTCGTGAAAATCAATGTGTGTGTGTGCGTGTGAATTTTGGACAAAGTCTCCGTTTTCTCAAAGGGACACAAATATTTTCTTTTTGTAGAGAATGAAGGCAACGATTACCCAGAATGCCGTGCCCCATGTATCCAGCAGCAACAATTTCCAGTGGATTTTCTCAATCGTCCAATTAATTGGGAAATAATTAGCGAAAATGTTGTGGGCGCAGTAAATCACAATTGAGTTCATGCCTAAAAAACAACAACAAATAAAAATAAACAAACAATATTTGGTAAAAATAAAACGAAAATAAAATGAATATTTGCTTGCTTGACTATATGCGCATTTTTAAATGATGGCGTTTTTTCTTCTTCCTATAAAAGGTCCAAGAGTAGATGGTTCTTCGAGGAGGTTGTTGTATGAACAGTAAGAGGTAAGTAGCGCAGTTTATGAGGATATGTGGGAAAGATAACGGTTAACTGTTGACTTAAAGAGTTTAAGATTGTAGTGGTTTGGAAAGCATACGTTAATCTCCCTCAAAGTAGAATGGGAAAAAAAGCTGTTCGAGTGGAACTCCCTTCTTATTAATGTAAGAAAGAAAGGAATCAACTTAGTATACACGGGTCATAGCTGTGAATATCTGAACTGGTGGAACTGAAGAATATAGCGCGGCAGAATATTTTCCATGGAAATAACGACTGAATAGCAAGATAATTGCAACGCTTGATCTATGGTTGTAGGGTGGAAAATAATCGCCCACAAAGCCGCGTAGAACCGTTTGAATTCTACCAAGACTTAACAGTGAATAATGTTTAGCTCCAGCCCAGTCATGACTGCAATATTCCATTTTTGGTCTGATCTGGTTCTTGTAAGGATAGAACATAAGAGGTACTTGCTGGAGTGGTAGAAGGAACCGACCATCTTTCCAGCATCTTTAGTGATTGATTGTATAAACAAGTTCCATTTGAGGTCTGGTTTGAGTTTAACTTCAAATAGTCTTTCAGGGCAAAGGGGCCTTCTCGAGAGAACACCTATTCGTCGCGATAGGCGAAAATTCAGAGCATGTTTGGTGGTGCTGGAATGTTACTAGTTTTTTTTTATTTTATTTTATTTTTGAGGTATTGAATATGACCAACCAGTTTTCCCCACTGAGCTGTTAGAGCTTGGTCAAAGAAGAGATCAGCCGCCAGGTTTTGCGCATCTAGATGTTGGGAGATGCGCCTATATACCGTTGTATCATCTACATAGCTATTGACGAAAGATCTGAGTCTGTTCTTAGGTAGATCATATCTGCTGAGAATACAACAGTAGGAATCCATAGAGAACGGTTCAAGTTGATCCGGGAAACACGTTTGCAAACCGGGGCTTATTTTCTATTTTCTTCGTCAATTGGTCTAAACGGAATAAAAAGTTAGAAAATGGGAGTTTTCGTAAAATAGTATGTATCTAGAAATATTTTAACACAGGGGCTCTCAGCCAAGAGTAAATTCAGTGTTTCATAAAGAGAGGGAAAATCTTTTACTTTTTCATGTCCATCAGGAGTGTAAAAAAATAAATTGGAATGAACCTTTAATATATGGAAAAATGATACCATATATATATATATATATATATATATATATATATATATATATATATATATATATATATATGACTCTCCCGTCGAATTCGACTAATGAGGTTCAAGCAGCTTAGTTCCGAGGAACTGACAGTGCAGACACCAGCACATGAGATTTGATTATAGTGGTGAAGGCTTTGTGCAGAGCCAACCACACCTTTTGAAGACCCAAATACAGGGACCTGGAGTACTACGTGCCAGAAGGGCCCTAGCGACCTTCTGCAGGTTTTGAATTCATGGTTGTCCTTCTCCTAGACCAGTTACCATCCAAGGCTATAGAACCCAGTATGTCCTGCTATTTACCCATAGCTGAGGGAGAAGAAGAGGATTCATACCTTTCCCAAGGGTATTAGCATGTAAGTGAATGTAATGGATTCGACTGGAATTCGAACTCGGCTCCAATCCCAGCCGCTGACCATTACCCAACCGTGCCTCATATATATATATATATATATATATATATATATATATATATATATATATATATATATATATATATATATATATATATATGGGGGATGTGATATTTGTATATATCAGGACAATGTTAGGTAAATGAATGACAACATGGAAACAATTCTGTGTAATTCATTTCAATTTAGGGAAAGTGTATATAAAGTGCTTTGATTGCTAAATCATCCACAGTAAATTTGCATCCAGGTTCTTACAATATTGCATCATTCTTGGCAGATCTTCTGGTATCACAATGTGGGAGACTTAAAAACAATTAAAGTGATTAAAAAAAAACATAAGGAAACTGAAAGAGATCAGCTGGATTGCATGGCCAGACATGTCTGGAAAAAAAAAACGAAAATAAAAAAATTTTAATTTAAAATTTCAACATTCCAATATCTTCAGTTTTTCCACTTGGTACATAATTGTAACCAATGCTAGAATATTTATATCTGTCCCTCCCAAACATATATCATTCCATCAACAAAAACAGTACTTAAGTCGAATGAAGTCCTTCTTGAGCATGGGTTCTCATCCAGGGGGAAAAATTTCAAGGTTTCCAAGGGAGAGGTCAAAACTTTTTTTTTTACTTTTTCTTATTTTTTATTTATAGAATTTGGGGCCCATCATGTCAGAAAAAAACCTCGTCTATAAAAATAATCCATGTAAATGTATATGTACTAATAAGGGAAAGAATAAAGATTTTTCATTAATATATGCATATTATTTGGAATGCACCTTTTGAATCAGACAATCTTGCAAAGTGTGGAATGACATTTTGACTTGAGGGAAAAATGGTGCATTGGGCAAAAAAAAAAAAAAAAAGAAAAAAAAGAAGCGCTGTTTTAATGAGTAAAAAGTAATTAATAATAGCGATTAAAACGGACATATCAAAATAACAAGAGGAAGTATAAAAAAAAAAAAGATGAGTACCATAAAAAAATTATATTACCGTAAAGTGGGAATATCGAAATACAAAACCACAATTAAAAAAGCAGCTTATCGATCCTCTCTCGTAAGAGTTCAATTGAGTATAAACGACTTCAATAAAAAAACATCAACGACCGGATGTTATATAATAAATATATAATTATTGGAAACTTTATTTATGCCTAACAACCACTTATGCCTAGAGAAGTGTGACTGACAGGACTTAATATAAATAGATCATAAAACCTTCAAGTGAAAATCAGAGTGTGCCTTTATCAGTATCGAGATCTTTTTTTTTTTTTTTGGTTATAGAACCGGGCATATTGATGGCTGTTTAATACATGTTCAGCTATCACCGAAGCAGTTTTGTTAATGGAAATTTCCCTAAGTACCGTTCCGAATATTGGTTGGCATGTGTTGAATCCTTGCTTCCAATCTCTGACCCGTTCTACGTATATGGATAGCGTCAAACTGACATTTGAAATGATAAACTACAGAACTAGGGTGATGCGGTAGATCATCTTTTCGGATCGATCTCCTCTGCGTAGGTTGGACAGAAAAGATAATACGTGGATCAGCATAAGATTTTTTAACCACTCGAGAAATCTACCTAAGAAACCATACACTGATATTATCAGTCCGGGCAAATACATATAATTTCTAGGAGCCAATAGGCTTAGGTTTTTACAAGCTATAACATTTTTCTTCTCCACAATATCAAACAGGTATCCATTTTCACTATTTACATTATTCGTACTATTGTCCTCATCTTTGTCGCCACATTTATTACAACGTTTTGGCCGTTGTACGCTCCGGCCTTTTTCAGGTGGTAGGAATGTCGAACTGAACCCTTTATTTCGCTCACTGGGGTAGACTGTTCTAGTTCCACGTGCCATGTTTAATGGATGTTAGTTGTTTCCTGTTAATTCCCCTCTCCAAGTTCTCCACTTCCTTAACCGGGTATTGAACACACACTCTTTGGGTCTTGTCACTGGATCTAACTAACGCTTTTATCCACTGTGCCATGTACCCTTGAGGATTTTCTTTTTGTCCATAATATATGTTGAAACATGAGTACCTTACCTGTCCGTTAGTGAGTGTGCTTCTTGATTCTGTCCAAAGATAGAATATAGCGACCACTCTTATTTTTATGGGGTGGTTGGAATGTCGAACTGAACCCTTTATTTTGCTCACTGGGGTAGGCTGTTCAAAGATGAGGCCAATAGTCCAAATAATGTAAATAGTGTACATAATACCACATCTCAGAAATATAGACAAATACAGGTATCCATTTTCTCTAAAAAAAAGCTTCCAATTCTGAATTTAATTTTCTTTCTTAGCAAATTACTACATCACCATCGATTATGGTTTTGAAAAGTTTGCAACTTTCATTGTTCTGAACAGAAGGAATTTCAATGGGTGTATAAACCCATGACGCTTAGTTTACGGAACAAGTCCGACTTGTGTTCAAAGACAAAGAAAAAGGATGTTCTTCTTTACACATGTAAATTGTAAAACCGAGTGAAAAGCTAGATGAAATTATATATATATATATATATATATATATATATATATATAAACTGTCAATGAATGTCGATTATGTCTGATAATGAGCCGTTCTGAAGTTCGTATGTTTGCTTTAATTTCCGGTGAAAATAAAGACAAAAATTATCCGAAATTTGGATAATTTTTATTAGGTTGGCCTGAAGCTTTCGGCTCACATGACCCATCCTCATAATGTTTATACAGACATGAAACAAAGATATCCACCGTCAAAGATGATATTTTGTTATGTTGACAGAAAATTGCTATGCGACGATAGTTCTGGTATTGAACTCCTAACGCTTTGGGTCTAGTCACTGAATTAAACCATCGTCTTTATCCACTGGGCCAGCAAGACCAGCAATACCAGGTCACAGCAGTGGTGAACCAAAACTTGGAGAGTTGAGTTAAAGGGAAATAACTGAGACATCCGGAAGAGGCATGGTAGGTGGAACTAGAACAATCTACTCCGGTGGACGAAATAAAGGGTTCGGTTCCAAATTCCAATTACTTGAAAAAGGCCGGAGCGTACAACGGCCGAAACGTAGTGAATATGTCAATGAAGATGAGGATAACAGTCCGCATAATGCAAATTAAGTATTCAGTATTATTCAACACAAAAAGGAGCCAGTAGTTACACTTTTAAAGGAATGTACTCCTACATAGGTTCGTGAATGCGGGTTTAATTTAATTTAATTTTATTTATTTGTCGAATATTTTATTCATTATTTGATAAAAAAATATTTATGTTACTGCTTGTTATTTATATCGTTTTATTTTTTGTCTTATTTACCTTAATTAATCCTTTATCGTTGTTAATTTTAAATTTTATTACTTACTGCCATTCACAAGTGTGGATGTAAATATGTCCAATTAGTCACTTCCGGTTTTGAGCGGATTCTCTTAAGAAAAGGAATTCTCCCCTTATACAAGATTTTATATAGGCGAGTTAAAAAAAATTATTTAAATTTGTTTTTTTTTTATACGTCTTTATGTGATCGGGCAAATCCACAATTTTCTCACTCGCTGTTTGACCTCAAAGATGGAGAAGAGACTTGATCAACAAAAATGTGATACTACAGAAGGATACTAAGAATACCATGGACTTAATATGTGAGCAACAACGGTTTTTAGAGAAGATGGACATAAAAAGGAAACTTATACTTAACGTCAGGAAGATGTCAAATTGAAATTTATAGGGCGCATATTAGGAAGAGAGAATTTCTAGGGTGCATAATGAGGACAGAGGGCTTGGAAAATCTGATACTCACAGGATAGCAAGAAGGACAGAAGAAACAACAGAAATCATGCCAAGAGTAAGTTGCCGGCATTCACGTGTGTGGATGCAAATCTGTCCAACTGGTCACTTTGGTTTTGAGCGGAATCTCTTAAGAAAAAGAACTTACCTCTTAGACTAGATTTCATATATGCGAGTTAAACAATATGCCATCATGTGATCGAGCAAATCCACTCTTTTTTTTCACTCGCTGTTTGATCTGTTTGTCCGGTTCACACTCCTCCCTGATCTTTTGAACAGGAATAAGAATTTATCTCTCGTTTCCTGCTTAGGATTGGAGTTTTGGTTACTTTAAAGTCTGTTCTATACTTTTGGCATCTCCACCTAAACTCCGAAAGTTTATTTACTATTTATTTAGTTTTTTCTCAGTGGGAGTAGATAGATTTTTCTATCGCCCTGCTCTTTTATACAGGAAAGAAAGTTTATCACTTGTTTTCTCTTTAGGATTAGATTTCTGGTTACTTCTAAAGTCTTTTTATTCTCTTTCACTCCCAGTAACCCCATGCGTCTTAGTTGCATTATCACCTTGCTTGGGGTGAATTGATTAAAAAATATGGCTTTTATAACTGTTTCCGTTGTCGGTAGTTGAGCTTCTTTTAACGAGCTCGGCTTAAAGGCCTGTAAGACTGCGGCCATTTCACTAATCATGGCCCATTAATATGATCTTTTATGCTAGAGTTGGTTTAGCCCAAAAGACATTTAAATGTTTATTGTTTACAGTTACATGATAAATATTCTCGAAAATTTGCATTTTGAGACACACGTCAAAAGAGTTCAATCTCTTACCTGTGTATGTGAATGGACGACCGGACCACCATCCAAGGACGTCGATGAAAATGTAGAGAATAGTTAAAAGGATAAATGCAAAACTGGCATTTATAAGGATAAATGACGTAGACCTGAAATTAGATACGCATCAAAAACTTTAGAAATCTTATATTTTGATTTGTTCGTTAGTTTATTCATTCGTCATGCATGCGCCATCTTTCGATTAGGCGCTATTTGAACGAGGCACATTTTATACGCCGTAAAATATCAATTCAGAGGCAACTTGCCCATATGAAATTTTCTACCTCACATATAACAGAAACAACTCACTTAACACACACACACACACACACACACGCGCGCGCACACAAACACACATATATAAAAGTGAACATTGAAGTCAACACCCAGAGGCGACAGTGAGTTTCATGCTTAAACGCAATCGTCAATGTATTTTATATTTATATTTCCATACGCTTTATTCTTGATTTTGAGTACTTTAACCCATAAATATAGCATACCTTAAAACTATATTTTATCACACACACACACACACACACATATATATATATATATATATATATATATATATATATATATATATATATAATTTTTAATGGTAAGAAATGTTATTGTTTTTTTGTTATATATATGTATAACTTGTTTTTTGTTATTATATCTAATACAGTGTAACCCGGATATAACACACACACACACACACACACACATATATATATATATAATTTTAATGGTAACAAATTTGATTGTTTTTTTTGTTATATATATAACTTGTTTTTTGTTATTATATAACTAATAATTCATAATTATCGCACAAACATACACACACACACATATATATATATATATATATATATATATATATATATATATTTTTTAATGGTAGCAAATTTGATTGTTATTTGTTATATAACTAATAATTTATAATTTCGTCTTTTAACTTCTTTTTTTCTGGTCATCTTTTAATTTCCCTTCATTTTTTTTTTTGCTTAAACCCAACTTTAGGGTTAGGGTTCTGGGTAGATTTTGTGTAGCCTTTTTCCATTTAAGCCAGACATAGAAACAGTCTCGATACTTTTTGATCAGACCTCATAAATCATATAGTTTCTGTGTTTGATAATCCGACTGGACTTAGTTTTAATTCTTTCAGAGTACATGTCCAAATCTGTTACATTAAAACGATGTCAAATCTAACGTTTTCGTGTCATGGCGAACGTTTTCCACTGCCATGAAGAGGAATGATTATATTGAATCAATTGCTAGCTCTGCTGCTAGGAAAGTTGATTCAATGTATCGTGCAAGACAGTTTTTCTCATTGGAATCTATCTTACACATTTATAAGCCTACCATTCGTCCTTGCTTTGAATATTATTGTTGTATCTGGTCTGGTGCTTCAGCTGTGTATGTAGATATTTTTGATAAAATCCAAAAAAAGGATCTGCAATGTTACTTGTCCTGACCTGACATCTCGGCTTCAGTCACTTTTCCACCGGCATTATGTAACTTCCCAGTGTCTTTTCTGTAAATACTTTCATAGTAATTGTTCTGGTGAACTTTTCTCTATGTTACTTAAACTTTATGAATTTAAGTGCCGTACTAGATTGGCAGCAAAGATTAGGATACTAGTTCGAATAATTTATGAATTGTTCCTCTTGAAGGGAAATCAGTTTACAAAATTATGTTTCATATGTATTCCCGAATTAATGTATTCTTAATGAAACCCTTTCTCTTTCCTTTGTCTTTGCATAGAGTCACAGATCCTATCGGGGAAACGCCCCTCTCCAGCCGGTCAGTAAAATTATTGATAAAATACATACTTGATAAAATCCAAAGAAGAATCTGCAATGTTATTGGTTCTGACCTAGAACCTCGGTTTCAGGCACTTTCTCACCGCCCTGGCATAGTTCTCCTGTGCCTTTCCTATAAATATTTTCATGGTAATTGTTCTGATTAACTTTCCTCTATGGTACCTAGAATTTATGAGCTTAAACGCAGTACTAGACTGATGACAAGGTGTCATCATTTTGCATTTGAAATGGTTGCTAGATGTAACCGTAAGTTCTATGCTAAAAGTTTCTTCTTCTGTAGCATTTCCGGCTTGTGGCCTATTACTTTCAGTCAACTTTGATTTTCAAAAATGTAAATGCAAAATGTCGATCGTTATCTTCTGTCTCCTTAAATTCCTTTTCTTTTATTGTTCTCTCCCCTTAATAATGCTTTCTTTTTCTCATATTCTTTCACACTTAGTAACCCCTTGCGTCTTAGTGGTTTTAATTTCTTGCTTGGGGTGAAATGATTAAAAATGTCCGACAATAAACGTTTGTTTGTTAGATTAAAATATACTTGTCTTGTGCAGACATCTAAAATTTGATTTTGTTTAGCAAAGAAAAAATTAAAGCGACAATAAAAAACTCAATTGAAAATACCCACTTTAAATTTTAACAATTTTATAATCAGGAACTTATTAATTCTGGTTTGAACGGTAAAATTCTTTCAGGGGATTTGTTTTTGGTGTGTGTAGGCAGATTCTATTTGATTTTCTTTTTCAAATAATAATGAAGAAAGTTTACCATAAATTCTTGTTGATCGGAATTACTCCATCATTGACCGAGGCTTTGCACAATGCAACAGCGATGGCACCCTGCAAGTAATAAGCAGATAAAATATAAAAAATAAACAGCAAGTGCTGAAAATACGTTCCTAGCATTTCCCGAGATTATAGTTGATATTTCGATATCTGTTCTTATCTTCAAACCAACAAAATGTGAAAGGGATATTGTTTCTTAAAACGAATACGGGAAGCATTTGAAACGTTCCTGAAAAAAAAAATGGAATTAAAAGCAAACATTTATCAAAAGTATAAGTCTTATTTCGATCAACATCAAGGCAATTATGTAAGCGATGACACCGGTCATTTATAACTTTTTCGAAGCTCCAGAGAATCGAATCGTACCAATGCAGCTTTTTTTGATGGCATGCCATACATGATACACGCCTGGGCGATCATGTCTCTTTCGATTCTTTCGGTATATTGTCATTTCTTTCTACGTTAGACTGTTTGCCGACCAAGGCTATAAGACCCTTTCTGTTATGCTATTCAACCCATAACTGAGGCCGGGTGGGGTGGGGGCTGGTTGAAAGAGATGGATACATACCTTTCTCAAGGATATAACGAACCCGATTGGAATTCGAATTCGGCTCTCCGATTTCCCAGTCCAAGTCGATTGCACCATAACGCACATTAAGTGGTTAAAAATGGGAAACTTTTCAGACATTTTAAATCTTACGAAATAGGAAAAAGTCATAAGGTGCTGAAACAGGACTGAGATGAATGTCTTAGGATTTCCCATCAAAATTCTTGAAACGGAACGAGCAGGGGCATTATTGTGGTAGAAAAAAAATTCTGGTGAGTCTTTTCTTGCTGATTTTTGTTTATTTTTAATTCATTTTTTTTTTCAAAATACTTTCGTAATAAGCAAACGTTGCTCTGCTTGTCACTTCTAAAACGTCAATTAACAAAATGTCCTCAGCGTAACCCACCACCACCAAAAAAAAAAAAAAAAGGCAACAAATCCATCACCATAACCTTCTCTTTTGTCCAGATTTGCTTTTGTTCTTCCACTGATCAGATAATCATTGAATGAGTTTTGTCTTCAGATTCGTGAAGAGCAAGAGTCTCCTCTCCAGTTAAACTCGTCTCAGAAAGCTGAATATTTGAAAAGAAGGGAAGCAGAAACTGTTTCCCTGATCAATTCTACATCATCTCCTGACAACGTGTCCTTACTTGATTGTCTAATTCCATGACTTGTCATTCCATTAATAATCACGACCTGTTACAGAATATGAAAGTCGTGTTCTTTGATCGCATCAGCCATGACACTTTATGCTCATACCTTCTTGCTGAACATATTACTGTCTATTCAACGTTTTTTCTTCAAGATGGAGGAAAGTTATCTGCGCAAGACACCAAATGGAAAGTTATCAATGTAAGCAAACAGAACCATCTGATTTAATAGTAAACTGTAATATTTTTACTTGTATCATTTACGTTATTCAGATTTTTATCCTCATCTTCATTGCCATGTTCACAATGTTTCGGCCGTTGTACGCTCCGGTCTTCTTCAGGTGATTGGAATTTTGAACGGAACCCTTTTTTCGCCCACCAGGGTAGATTGTTCTAGTTCCAATTACAAATTGGAGATACCAAAATCAAACAAGTACAACAATTGAAATATCTGGGAAGGTAATGAAGGAAAGCAGGAGGAAAGGATTAAACATCAATTGCAAGAAGGCAGAATGCATGGTTGTCAGTTAAAGGGACAGACCAACATGCGAATTACAAATTGGAGATGCCAAAATCAGACAAGTGCAAAATTTAAATATCTAGGAAGTGTTTTAAGAGAGGATGGAAAATGTGACACTGAAATCCGAAGCAACAGATCGCGAAATATGCCTTTCAAAAGTGTAAACAAGGTATTAAGAAACAGAAAAATGTCATTGGAAACAAAAAAAAAGGGTAGCTCTATATGGCAGTGAATACTGTGCAATCTCCTCACAGATGAAGACGAGACATGAGGCAACAGAAATGTGGTTCTATAAAAGGGTGCTGAGAATACCCTGGACTGAACATGTGAGCAATAACGACACTTTAGAAAAATGGAAACAAAAGGGTCACTTGACATCCGAAAGCGGCAGTTGAAATTTCTAGGACACATAAGGAGGAAAGAAGGCTTGGAAAATTTGACACTCACAGGACATATTGACGACAAGCTGAACAGAGGAAAGCAGCACATAACCTAACTAACGGACGTTTAAATGACTTGACTTAGAAGATATAGAAAAAAGACAACATTTACTAAGGGCTACAAAGGACAGGAAGTTGTGGAGAGCCATTATCGTCCACTTCCATAGAAGAAGAAGAAGAAGAAGAAGAAGAAGAAGAAGAAGAAGACGAAGAATCGAAAAGCTGCAAAGAAAAGAAAATTACTTACGGTAATCACGGCCCATATAATCCATCTGAAGATGCGCTCTCGATGGCCTGTAAAAGTCATTAGGATTCGGCCTGACTGTTAAGAGAGAAAAAGAAAAATGCTTTAGTAAGTCTTATCAATCAATTTTCTTATAATTTCCTCCTCCCAAACAGCATTGGGATAGCGAAAGTTGCTTTCCAAAAGCCAAGCAAAGTATTAAGAAACAGAAAAATTTCGTTACAAACAAAGAAAAAGAGTACTGATATCAGTCCTCCTCTTAAGGATGTAGGCGATCATAACTTCTTTTCTTTATTATCTGTAAAATTCCGTGGCTTCCTAAGAAAAACATTTTCCTTCACCACGGTTTTGAATTAAGTGTTGTCCTTCTCTTAAACTGGTTACCAACCAAGGCTAGAGAGTTCAGTCTACCCAGCGACTGAAGCCATTGACATGCGTTTCCTAATGGCATCAGTGCAAAAGTGAACGCAATTGACGCGGTTGAAATTTGAACTCGGATCACTGATTCCAATTTTCTGCACCAATAACCGCCACGCTACCCGGACAAACTTCCATATTTTTGTTACTATTAGCAGCAGTTTCTTTATGGTTCTTCTTCTTTTGGAACATATAATCATTCATCAGTAAATCCACCATTCCACTGTGCATTGAATATTACTGCCATATATGGTCTGGTCCTTCTACTGGATATCTCGAGATTCTTGATAAAATCCAAGGAAAGTTATTTAATGCTATTGATCCTGATTCGATATCTTGATTTTAGGCACTTTCCCACCGACGAGACGTGGCTTCCTTCTGTCTCTTCCACAAATATTTTCACGGCAAAGGTTTTGAAGAGCTGTTCTCCTGGGTGTTTCAATTGCAATTTAAGTTTGCTACTAGATTGGCAGTTAGGTCTCACCGTTTTACAGTTGAACTAGCTAGAATCAATCGTCAGTTCTATTCTAGCAGTTTCTTTTCTCGCACTTGTTGCCTGTAGAAATCCCTTCCGATTTTTTTCTTCTCTGCACCTAAAATCTTCGATAATAAAATTTAAATGCAACGTCAATAGTCATCTTCTGTTTTCCTAAATCCTGTTCCTTGCTTGGGAAGGAGTGATTAAAAAGGAAAAAATAAAATAATTAAATAAATAAATAAATAAATAGATAAATAAAAAATAAAATAAAATAAAAAAATAAAATAAAATAAATAAAAATAAATAAAAAATACACATCTCAGTTGTATCAACTGATTTTTTTTTTGACAAAACAAACAGCTAAAATGAACACTGAACTTTTCGAGTAACTTTGTACATTAACTTTGTTTCCCTTTAGGGTCTGAAGTCTTATATATATATCTCAAATTTTTACCTGAACTCCAAGGAAACACAAAAAGATAGATGTTGGAATTCCTAAGATGCCTTCCGGATCGTATGGTCTTGTTGTTTTGTAGATTTCCTGCAAAGAAAATAAATTATGTATATACCTCGCATAGTACCCATAAAAAATGACGGAAATATTTATATAAGGATCGGCATTTTTTCTTAGGAACAAAAGATCTCTACGCTTTATCAAGTATCAGTGTCACCCTGAAGCATTTCTACCAGCCTAAATTCCAGGACGCGCGTTCAAATCAAGGAAGGATTTATTTATTCGTTTTATATATCACAGGTGGTTTTAATATACAAGAAATTACAGACAGGAACATACAGAAAAAAAAAACATACAATGTTTTAATTATTTGTAAGTATTGTTCTAATCTTGGTTGTTATAGATATTATTGACGCAACGTTTCGGCCAAATACTCTCTGGTCATCATCAGGTGTCTATTGTTTAGATGATATGGGATATCTGTTGATTATTGTGTTATCCTTGTAATTTCAGTTATTGTTATAATTGGTGCTTCACTACCTGATCCAAGGATTGAACTTATGATCACTAGATGTCAATAAAGCATCTATAATCAACGCTTATATCTCCTACGACGACCTCCTGATGGCTGCAGTGGTGCATTTTCAGAGACTTTATAGATATTTTCAACATTTAGTTATCGTTGCAGTTCGTATATCTTTTTCATAATTTTGTATTTAATCTCTGACATAAGAAATTGGAAATATTTTTTTAATATATAATTGATATCACAGGGACAAAATAATCAAAAGATATATTTAAAGTTTATTTACAATTACCTCAAAAAAGAAATATTAAAAATGTCATACAATGGATATAATATTATTTGAATTTCTTAGCTGAAATGTTATCAATTATGATTCCTTTTTTTATAAGTACTACTTTCATCGTAATCTCATTTGTTTTTTATCGCAAATCACAGATCGTAAACTGGAATAAAGGATAAGCTGAATTCGAAACCCTCATACTTTGGTAGCCTATGAAAAATAAAACAAAACAATGGCATGTGCTTGCTGGTGACCTAGTACTCTCCAAGTAACAGGAAAGAGATTTTATTGAATTGTATGATACTAGCAACAAAGTAGTAGTAGTAGTAATAGTTATTATTATTATTATTATTATTATTATTATTATTATTATTATCTACAATCAGTTAACACCAGATACCTTGACAGCTATGCCTAGTGTAGCATCATTGAATTTATTCTTATTTTTATTATTTTCTTTGATTTCTGTTGTATACTCATCTAATTCTGGGTCCCCACCAGAGGCTTAACGTCAGGAATGGCATCCTCACATTTTCCACTGCACGTTTGTGTGAAAAAGTAAAAATAACAATAAAAATAATGCAAACCAAAAATATACACATTTTACATAGATAAAGCTCTTCGTAGGGTATGAGCTGTTATTGTAACGACAATTTTTTTTTGTATTTTGTTAAGGCATTGGCTACCAGGAATCTCTTTATTATTATTATTATTATTATTATTATTATTATTATTATTATTTCCTTTGATTTCTGGTGTGTACATTTCTTTTCAGGTCCCTTAGGACCTAAGGTTAGAAATGGCATCATGACACTTTACACTGACAAAAAAAAAAAAAAAAAAGTACACAGATAAAGCCCTTCGTAAAGTGTGGGCTGTACTTGTGAGAACAATTTTTTGTATTTCTTTGAGGGGTGGACTTCCAGGAATCCCTTCAATTAGTCTAGTGGAATCTTTTCCAACCAATCATAGGACTCCAACTACAACAGGGAATGTTGATGTTCCCATGTGTCACATTTATTATTATTATTATTATTATTATTATTATTATTATTATTATTTCAGATATGAATCGACAACAATTATAAATATTTCATCAGTTTTAGTGTTCCGAGTCTTCAGGTGCAATATAGTTCATTTCTTTTTCTAACATTCTAAAGCTTTGTCTGGAAAGGCTGCAATAAATTATATGTGAAATTATTCGTGTGTAACTGTGAAGGTATGTGACTTGAGGAATTTATTGAATACTTCAAAATTCTATAAATACTGACCTTGAAGGTTGGGTGCTGATAAATGTGATTCTCACCCAGTACCAATCTATCCACGTACTGTGCAGCTCCACCAGTGCAATTAAAATACAAGCCATTTTCGCTTATACCGCCAGGTCCAAGATATCCACTAAAAATAAGAGTTTTAAAAATATTAAATTTGAAATCAGTTCGTTTAGTAATTCTTTTTCAGCAAAAGCGTGAAATCTGATTCAGGTAGGGTTCGAGCAGTAAATATACAAGGAGTTCGATACAAAACTCATTATAATTTATTAATATCCTATAGCGTAGTTTAATTCGGCAAAGAACTAAAATTCGACGACAGACCATAAGAAGATATTGTGACGCTGATGTTTGGAATGGCTGGTTTGTGTTATACTACTTAATCAAGATTTCTTTCTGATTCATATTTCACTAGTCATGTCGGCTGGATGTGAGCGCTAATGAAACAAAACCCAAAATAAATAAACGTTGTCTGCTCAAGGTCTCCGAGCCATCACAACTCATCCGCAAAAAATCTAAAATACAATATCTAATCACGAACATTGGCAAAACAAAAATTGGTCTGGGAGCCAGCGTCTGTTAAATTACAGATATAAATACGGCACGCCAACATTAGGAAGTCCGGCTCAACATGTCGACCTCATCACACGACTATCCATACAGTGCACCGGTGTCGATTTTAACTCTGAAGACAGACAGTTCACCCCCATCAACGTCACCCCACTCGTGATACCACGCGGCTTCACTAATTCACTACATGAATCTCTTATCGTCGCCACCATGACCTTGGTTAACCGACCCCCAAAATCCGGTCTTATCAACAATAACCTTACACCTAATCGCTTTCCTTACAAACGATAACTAAAGAATCACTTATCAACAATTTTGTTACCTTTTTATGTATATATTCTGAAAATTGGTCAATACACAGTGTTAAAATTTCAATCCTTCATTGTTCATTCATTACAATGCTTATAACAGACTCTTAAAAATAATTAAAATTTTTTACCGGGGATCAAACACAGCACCGATACAAAGATACATCACTACCTCCTAAACCCTTGGCAAGTGTATATCTTTGTAAGTATTTGCTTGGTTTCTTTATTTTAAACTTTACTTCGGAGTCAGATGCGACGCTCTTTACTAATTTTTACTATTTATTAATTTGGCACAGAGTCAAATTTTGGGAAAATGCGACGAATAGGAATACGCATGTTTTTCAAGAATGGGCGGTGCAGATCAGCTTTTAAAAACAGCGTTTAAAATTCTGACCTTAATATTTGGGGTCAACTCTGACTACAATGTTACGGTAGGAAATAAACCAACTCTATCAACCATCAAGCAAGTTTTATCACTCATTTTTAATTACAAAGAACGCAAGGTAAGTGCCCAATTTCTCAAATGCTAATACTATCTACGAAGAAATGCGAAGATATTTGAAATTTGAAGATGTCCGAAGTCTGACGGAAATACCCGATCCTAGATGAAGTAACACGAAGTCATTCACCAGGTTTGAAGGTTGATGTAAAACGTGAAACTGGCAGACGACATGCAGTGTTGATTCTTATTTTAATACAATTTAAAAATTGAAACATAACTCCACAGTAATTCACTTTCAAAATGTCTGATGACGCTAAATAAAAAACGAAACATGTTCAATCAATGAAAATATTTCTACTTGTTCCTTATTTAATTATTCTATCATCGGATTTAATTCATATTTTTAACTCATATATATATATATATATATATATATATATGTGGGGGGGGGTGTATGCGTGTGTGTGTGTGGCTGTATGCATTTATATATGTATGTGTATGTAAGGTGTTTCGAAAAGTTTCCAAACAAAAAATTGCATCCATTTTGTAGTTTTCAGAAAATAAGCCCTTGGGACTTTTACATACATCCGATATATATTTTTCTTCTTAGTTCTTCATATTTCACTCATGAATAAATTAATCTTTACCAATAAATAGATTAATCCCTTACCCATAAATAGATTGATCCCTTATCCATAAATAAATTAATCCGTTACCCATAAATAAATTAATCTCTCACACATAAATAGATTAATCCCTTATCCATAAATAAATTAATCCCTTACCCATAAATAAATTAATCCTTCACACATAAATAAACTAATCCCTTACACATAAATAGATTAATCTCTTACCCATAAATAAATTAATCCCTAACACATAAATAAACTAATCTCTTACACATAAATAGATTAATCTCTTACCCATACATAAATGAATCCCTCACACATAAATAAATTAATCCCTTACCCATAAATAGATTTATTCCTTAACCATAAATAAATTAATCCCTCACACATAAATAAATTAATCCCTTACACATAAATAGATTAATCCCTTACCCTTAAATAAATTAATCTCTCACATATAAATAGATTAATCCCTTACCCATGTATAATGTTTGAAAGACCCGAAACTGCCCAATGACCCAATTCAGAACATCACTGACAACGCCCTCTAGTGCTAAAGAGCGTATATTCAAAGTAATACTGCCATGAAAATGTAATAGGATTATTCTATGACAATATTAACCATCCATGAGAAATACAGTTATTGATTTTTATCTTACTCATCATTAATGACAAACAAGACATTTCAAACAAAAATATCTTACTTTATTTTCTCACGGCCTGTGATTTGTGTATAATGTGTGAAGTGTTCAAAAGGTCAAAGCTTGCCCCATTATTTATAAATGATGATTTATTTAAGATATTCTTTAAAATTCTTTAATAAAAGCAGAAAACTCACGTGGGACATCCAGGTACTGGTAAAGCGAATGTGATACCCAGGTGTACAGCCAAGATGGCAAAATTAAGTAACCATTCTGGCCAATAAAGAAAAATGTCTCGAAATGCTGCCCATGGAGCAGTCTGAAAAGAAAGAAACAAATCAATCAAGTAGAGAGTGTGTCGTTATTTAGTTGACGTGTCTATCTAGCAAAACGCTTCATTTTTTTTATCGAGTAATGAGACTAACGCTTTCAGGCTGGAAAAAAGACACACGCGCAGAGACACACAGAGACACAAAACAAACAAACAACAACAACAACAACAACAACAACAACAACAACAAAAACATGGACATAAACATTTGCATACACATGCACACAAATACAAACATCTAGTACATAGAACAAGTATCACTTATATTTATGACTTATCTAGACTTATTTAATCTTATCTAAACTTATAGTAGTCGGAAGAGTCTAACATAGACTCTTTAGAGAGAGGACACCACAACAATGTATATATATATATATATATATATATAAACCTTCCATGTAAACAGAAACAGACTATCATCATTGTTTTTGTCCGTGTATTGCTTAATATATTGTAATGTAATTGTCATCTTTGATAATGCGTTATGTAAGCCGAAAGCTTAGATTGGATTAAAAAATATGTATCAATATTGTGATTTTCTTTCTTCGTTTAATGATAATGTTATTAATCTTATCAGACGATATGAAAAGAATTTACATAAAATAAATAGACAACACCTGTCTATATTATATATATATACTTTTATATATTTATATATATATATATATATATATATAGACTGTCTTTTCATTTCCGAATATACCGACTTCTATGGTGGCTAGCTAATCCCTACTGCAGGCACATGCTCAGGCACATTTGTTTTTCTTCAACATCCAGAGAGCCATCCCGATGGTTATACTGCAACTATGCTGAGCGGATATTAGTTACAGTTTCTAGGAGAGAGCACGCAATCCGGCGAGATCAGTAGTTGATAAAAGCTCAGTATCAGTATGCTCAAATCCTCAGTCACGATGACTTGTGACTTCGTGCTAGCTGAAACACTTATCCCTTTGAAATAGTTTTTTTTTTTTTTCTACAAAATTTTATTAACAAGTCTTTAACCAATCCCGTATCTTCTACGCCACCGTTCCGAAGGTCATCAGTAGTGTATTATGAATGTCCGAAAAATATACAAGTGATGTTCTTCGGGGTGGTAGTGTAGTGGATATATAAGATTGTAATTCGTGTGTAACTGTTGTCTAGTGGTCATGAATTTATTCTCTGGATCCGGAAACACTGGGTCAGCAGGAACCAACAATAATTGGCATTACAGGGACAAAAAAAACATCATAATCAACAGATGTCTCATGTCAGTCAAATAATAGACAACTGATGATGGTCGGAGCGTACTTGATCGAAACGTTGATTCTATAAATAACAGCAACAATTTTTAGCCATTGTGCCCGCAAAGAAAACGATGTGTCAAAAGGACAGTTTTTCCCTTGACACCGCTATTATTTTAACTACGTTAATTTCTCGATGTTTATTCATTTAAAAAACGATGATTAGAATTGCAGTAAAGCCTAAACATATGATGAAAGGGAATTTATAATTTGTTTTTTTGTTCATGGGAATTCGCAACACAAATATTAAACAGTATTTATTTATGAAATTGTTTATTTACAAAAATAATTTTATATTTACAACATTTAAAAACTAATAACAGTGTATAGAAATTAATGCAATACAATATTTATCATTTACCAATTTATAAAAAAATACATATGGAAACATTTTTTTCATAACTTTATAAACATTTACTAAATTATCAAAATATGTGAACCAACTATAAAGTAATCTTTATTATTTACCATTTTATAAAGTTCGAATCGATTGGAAATTAGTCGATGTTATGCCAACCATTCCAATAAACAATAAATATAAATAAATAATGAATCTAATCAATAAATAGTGTTTATTATTTTGTTATCAATTGTAAAAAAGAAATAAAATTCATTAATTCATTTTCATATGTTTAGGTTTCATTAAAATCATCGCGTTTTAAAAGAATTAAAAATTGCCGAGGATTGAAGGTAGTTAAAATAATAGCGGTGTCAAGGGAAAAACCGCCCTTTTGACTCAACTTTAAAGACTGCAGTAACATCTATAGTAATCAAGATGAATACAATAGTTCAAATAAATTAAAAAGTAGAATGTTCTTCATTTTGATACCAGTTTCATTATTCTATCTGGTCTAAAACTTATTTCATAGAATTGGAGACTTTACTTATCAATCAAACATTTTGAACATCATCTTGATATCGGTTTCATGATTTTATCTTGTTGTAAACATGATTTATAACGTTAGGGATTTTTATCAATGAAGATTCGTATAGTTCCATGTATATTTTCTTACTTTGTGTTTATCCTCTGCCCGAGCAAACACTGTTTCCATGAGAGCCACAAAAAAGTAGGTAAGTGAAAACCTTTGGAGAACACCAGGGATTCTTATGTTATTTAATTCGACAGCTGAAAAGAGAGAAGAAAGAAAAAGTAATTCAAATTGCATACTTTGTTTTTTCTTTTTTCTGGGTTTCATTTCATTTAGTCCGGACGAGCATGATTAACCATAGGTCTTTTAAAATTGATATGGTAGCCATTAAACGCCAAGTCCTATTCTATCTTATAATACTGCTAATTAAAATACTTAAACTATTGCTTGTTACTATTTTTACTTGTACTTTTTTTTGCGAAATGTCCGTCGGCCAAATGTCCGTCGGCCAAGTGTCCATCGACCAAGTGTCTGTTGGCCTAATGTCTATCGGCTAAATGTCTCTCGGCCAAATGTCTCTCGGCCAAATTTCCGTCGGCCAAATGTCTCTCGGCCAAATTTCCGTCGGCCAAGTGTCTCTCAGCCAAATGTCCGTCGGCCAAATGTCTCTTGGCCAAATGTCCGGCCACGGAAATAACATGAGGACGAGTAGGATAGATATTGGTTGGCCCTAGACTTAAATCGACCAAGATTGTAGTTGTCAGGGAAGCATCACCTCAGGAGTCTGTTCTACAAAGTAACAGTTCTGGGAAAGAAGCTGTCTGGGTGAAAATTGATTTCTATCAAAAGGAACACGAAGGGAATGGGGCTGATTTGCTACCGTAAACATGACATGTTGGAGGGTCCTAGCTGTGAAGGTCAAGGCTGATGGAACTAAGATTTGTAAATCATATGAACATCTGCCCTAGTAATAGTGGGTAGAATAGTGAAAGGCTGTCAACGTTTCGCCTGTGGGAAGAGGGTTTAAGGGTAGGGAAGCAAAACTTGCAGTAATATTTAAATTAAGATGTTCTACCAGCCATATGAAATTAATTACAGAATAAAAGAATATACTGTTAGCTATTAATAAACACCTATTTTTGCAGAGTTATCGTGCAAAATGGCTTCCCAAACGGACAAATGGCAAAGAATTGCTTCATGCACCAATCGACTCTAAAATCACCCGCAACATAGTTTGGTGTGTCACTGTGCGGTCTCTACAATGCTAAGAAGATTATAGAGATTGGTTAATGGAAACTAAAAGAAACCAGGATGTGCCATTATCAATATGAAGCGAAATTTATTAACACAAAATCAAAATGGCAAAGTATCCAACAACATTCATGTGTAAGATTGTTGCCGAGTTTAAAGTGAGTCCCAAGATGACATGGATCTTGCATAACAAATTGAGCCTTAAATCATATCCCAGGAGCCCAAGACACTTCTTTACGAACTTCCTGAAGGTATGAGTTTAGGGAAAATGCAAAAATGTGTTAAGGTAGCCTCAGAGCTATGGATTCATTTCCAAAATATTATCTGACAAGAGAATATTCGAAATGGATATTGTTTAGAACCGCCGAAACAACTAGTGAGTCGCAGAGACAAGAGATGATACTAAAAGTATCTTTAGTATCTAATATGTAGTTCAGGTCATGGTCTATGATATCGTAGTCTCCAGCGGTAAAAAAGATGCTTCCATTCTTCTGCAGGTTAGAGAAAAGGTGGGGATAATGCCGACTTCAAGATCCTGAAGTACCACGTTTTACCATGACACATGTTAGTCAGAAGGTAACTGTGTGCACTCTGAACAGTACTTCCGGTCACACAGAAATAAAAGTGCAGAAGTTCGTCTTTTTCTACTATGGGTCGTGTCCCGTCAGGAAGTGGGCGATCATGGCTCTTCACAACTTCCTGTCCCTTTTAACTCTTTGCAAGATTTGTCTTTTTGGTGTCTCTTTTAATCCTTTTTTTCTGCCAACCATTAACACAAGCTCTCTATGTAGGTTATGTACTGCTTTCGTCTCTCCCTTTTGCATTCAAAATTTTCTGTGAAGCAAAGTTAATTTTTAATTAAACCCACTAGATATGGGTCCTTTTCGAGCGGGACACTAACAAGAACCTTCCACTTAAACACAAATATCCTCAAGACTAAGATATCCAAGAACTTCGCGGTTAAGGGCTGCGTAGTTTTGTGAGGTCCTGCTGAGTTCGTAATTGAAAATAATGGAAGCTATTGTAATAAAGTAATCGGAAGTAATCTTCCTTGTTTTATGATTACCTCCCTTTGGAGAACTCATTCGTTTGTAGTGGACTATAAATAGTCACTGCGCTTGTATCAATTATCCTAAGCAGAGTAAAGCTTCCTTAAGCCTTTTCTTGCTCTCCTTTGTTATTACAGACATATTGAATAAATTATTTGTTTTAATGTTATCTGAGTTATATTGATATCTTTTTTATTTATTAAAAAAGGTCCATTTATAAACGAATATCGAAACTCACACTAATTCTTTTTGCCTACCCTGTATATATTTTAGTTTTCATTGCTTATTTTCTTTATCTACTTATGATTAAAGCTGGTGTTTGTGTGGTGAATAGAGAATTTTTACGTACGTCCCCAAGCCGTATTGAGCCAAATACCAAGGGCAAAGAGGATTATGGCACGTCGAAGGACTTTCAGTAATATTTTACAGCGGGAAACTTTTCGACGGAGCAAACCACGGAAAGAGAAATTCATTGCTGTACCCATGATGAAAATAAACCTGAGAAAAAAAAAACAAGAAAGAAAGCAAAGAGAAAAGGAAAAGAAAATGAATAAATAAATATTCGGACGGAAAAATGGCATAACAAGGAAAGAAAAGAAGGAAACAATAAAAAAGTAAAAAAGAAAAAAAAGAGAAAACGAATAAAACAAAAAAAAAAACAAAAACAAACGAAGTGAGAAAAAGAAAGAAACAAAGAAAGGAATTAAGAAATAATGAACGAAAGAAACAAAGAATTGAGAAAAGGAAAAAAATACGAACGAAAAAAAAAAAAGAAAAGAAAAGAATGTACGAAAGAAAGAAATGAAAAAAAAAGAGTAAAATCGACAACGAAAGAAAAAACACTGAAACGGGGAAAAAGATATATGAAGCGAAAAAACAAACAGAAAAATAACAGAATAAAAGGAATAAAAGATCTGACAAAAAAGAAAGAAACATTAATAACGAAACATACATTCATTTTGATAGATAAAAAATATTCTTGAACAAAACAAACACACACACACATATATTAATTCAAACGTTATTATAGTGGATACTCGTATTTGGAATAAACGCATCATTTTTATTTTACGTCTATAAACCTGTGTATTCGAGAAATCGTAATAAAGAAAATGTGCTCCTCAGCAGGCATCGAACTGCCGTCCCTCTTTGTAGGAGAAACCACCTTTATATCCAGTGTGTTTTATCGCTCGGATACGAAGAACATCAGAGCAAAGAAAGGCTCTCTTTTCTCTTTTAAGAAAAGAACAATTCCTCATATTTTCCTCGAAATCTTTATATCTGCTCAGTTTCATATCCGAAACGTAAACAAAGCAATTTCTAAAGGATTTATAGATGTTATTTTTAATCCGATATGTCTTCTTAGTGGAGACTCGTATTTGAGATAGACGCCTCATTTTTTGATTATTACTTTAGACAGTCTATCGGACTGTGCATTCGAGTAATCTTAATAAAGAGAGTGTGTTTGCTGGCAAGAATCGAACCTGCGTCCTCCCTTGTAGGAAAAATTACCACTTAGTAAGGCTCTATTTCTTATTTTCGATTCTTCGATTCTGTATTTTGAGGTAATAAAAATGTCGGATTAAAAAATAAAATACATTAATTCTTTAGCAAAAACATGTATATTGATTTTATTACATTAACGTTACTTTTTAGTGGATACCCATATTTGAGTAGACGCTCTGTTTATTTATTAAACGGTATATTTATTTATTTTCGTCTATAGGCCTGAATTCGAGAAATTTTATTAAATAAAAATATGGGCCCTCCAGCGGGATTCGAACCTGCGTTCCTACTTGGCAGAGAGAAACCGTCGTTGGACCGTCTCGGCCACGAAGTGCGCCGACGATCAAAGCTGACTAGTGCCTTATAAACGCAAATCTTTCTCAGACTCTCGAAACAGTGATATCTGCTAATGTAATGAAACGTAAATAAAGTAATTTCTAAAGAAGTGATGGGTTTTCTATTTATTAACCCGACAAACTTTATTACTTAAACGTTATTCATAGAGAATACCCGTATCTGAGTAGACACTTCGTTTATTTAGTAAACAGTACATTTATTTATTTTCGTCTACGGGCCTAAATATTCGAGAATTCTTATTAAAGAAAAATAGATGCCATCCGGCAGGATTCGAACCTGCATCCCTTTTTTCTCCTGTGAAGTAAAATAAATATACTGATTTAAAAAAAAAATAAGCGGAGCATCCAGTAAAAATAACGTTTAAATAATAAAGTCTGTCGGATTAATAAATAAAAATCCATAATTTCTTTAGAAAAACACGCACACACATACGGATGCTCACGTACATATATATAAATATTTTAAGACATTTTTTATGTTTATCCGTTCTTTTTATAGATACAAATATTTAAGTAAATGGTCTGTTTATAATAAACAATATTAACGACATTTACCGGCCTGAATGTCCGAGAAATTTTCATAGAAAATATTCGTCCTCCGACAGGAATCGAACCTGTATCCTCTACGGAACTGTCATATAGCCAGACGTGCTTTACCGATTTAGCCACAGAGGAACGTTTCGGTTAGGAAGGTCGATTCTTCTGTTTTTAAGCTACAAATTTCCATGATTTTCTCTCGTATATTCATATCTGCTCGATGCTTATCCAAATGGAAACAATTTTCTCGAGAATGTCCGAGAAATTTTTTCAATTTTCGGACATTCAGCCGGTAAATGTCGTTAATACTGTTTATTATAAACAGAACATTTACTTAAATATTTGTATCTATAAAAAAAACAAAACGTATAAACATAAAATGTCTTAAAATAATTGTCGGACTTTATCCATTTCATAATGCATTTTCATAATTCTAAAGAAATAATGCCTTTCATGTGTGTGCGTGCTTGTTTATCTTCTCAGTTTGTCACTTATATCTTTTTTTTTTGAGTTAATTTTAATCCACATAAATATATGTATTTTTACTTACCAAGGAAAGACAAGATCAGCTAGTGTGAGGCCATTCCACTGCGCATGTTCAAAGAAGTAATAACCACCGCCACCATAATTGACAAATACCATGAGAATAATGGCAATACTAACAAAAAATAAAAGAAAAACGATTGGTATTTAAATAATGCAAAATATCGACGAATATAATAATAATGATAATGGAATAATAATAATAATAATAATAATAATAATAATAAAAATTTTAGTGTCTGAAGAGGGAAGTTTAATTTTTACAGGAGAACTGATATTCCGCCTACGAAAAGTTTTTTTTTATATGTTTTTTTGAAGTTACTTTCTCTATAGAGTTTAATACAATGCAGATAACAGTATTCAGTAAATAATAATAATAATAATAATAATAATAATAATAATAACAACAACAATGAAACAAGGAACATGAAAGTAGTAAGCGTCTTTACTCCGTAATAAAAGAAGCCAACAAATTCAAAATGGAGTTTCAAATGGGCGTAGAGATGCAAGTACAGTTCAATACACCGGCTGAAACTGCAAAATACTTTTAAAAGACAGCAAAGACGAATGCAACCGATCAGATACAGAAGCTATGGCAAGATAAACCGCTTCATGGCCAATACTCTGCCCGTACCAAACAAGCTGACGTAGACAAAACGCGTACCCATCAGTGGCTACGTAGTGCAGGGTTGAAAGCTGAAACTGAAGGTTTTATCCTTGCTGCACAGGACCAATGCTTGCCAAGTAGGAATTATCAAGCACATATACTAAAATATTGTGTCAGCCCAAAATGCAGATTCTGTGATAAATATCCAGAAACGATTGATCATCTTGTATCAGGTTGCACGACATTGGCACCCACTGAGTATAAAACCCGGCATGACAGAGTGCGCCAATATCTGCACTGGAAAATCTGCAACTTCTACGGGAAGGAAACTGAAAGAAAATGGTATGAACACCACCCAGACCCGGTTACGGAGATAAGACCTGTTACAATTCTATGGGACTACACAATACACACTGACAGAACAATCAAAGCCAACCGCCCAGATATTGTTATTAAAGACCACAAACAAAAAAAGTGCCTCCTTATTGATATGGCAGTCCCTGCTGACTACAATGTATCTTTGAAGATATTCAAAAAGCTGTCAAAATACCTTGAAATAGAAATCTCGAAAATGTGGCATATGGGAACATCAACAATCCCTCTTGTAGTTGGAGCCCTAGGACTGGTTGGAAAAGATTGCAGTAGACTAATTGAAGGGATTCCTGGAAGTCCATGCCTCAAGGAGATACAAAAATTGTTCTGACAAGTACAGCCCACACTTTACGAAGGGCTTTATCTATGTAATATATATATATTTTTTTGTCAGTGGAAAGTGTCATGATGCCATTTCTAACGATAGGTCCCTGGGCGGGACCCGGAAAGAAATGTGTAAACGCTAGAAATCAAAGATGATAATAATAATAGTAATAACGAGTTCCTTTTTCCAGAACCTTATAAAACCCTTTTCCCGCCTTGTTCATCTTGCATTTCTATTTAGGCGCGGAACTTTTTCCTTGATCTCGTACCACGAGATAATCTACTTGTTTCCATCTAATAAAAGTTACAAAATGTTTTTACAAACAGACGTCTTTGTCATTTTATTCCGGCTATCTCTTTGATGTTTATTAATTTATGCACTTGTTGATTGACCCTTTCCTCTCAATGTTCATTCACGCATTTTATTTTTTTTTATACATTGCTTGTGGACTCAGGTAGTTAAGTGTGGTGTCTGGCACAAAGGCCACTTTGTAATAAACCAGCACTGCACCCTACCGGGTCTGCAACACTTTTTTCTATGAAATTTAATCTCACTATTAACAGTCTTATTTTTTAATTTCTTTATATTTTCCATAAAGCATCGTAAACGTAAAAATGAAAGCTAAGTACAAAAAAAAAAAAAATAAAATAAAAAAAAAAAAAAAAAAATTAGAGCGCTGAAAGTTTTCCTTAAAAGTAACAAGGTAAATAATTTGTTCAAGAAAATAATTTCACTTCCTTCCATCCGTAGAAAATTCTCCTCCCGTAAGTTATCTAAACGTCATGAATGTGCCTTTCGTCAATCGTCAAGCGACGCGAAAGGTTATGACCTGCTTTGTTTTATTTTCAAATTACATTTTTTCGGCGCAGAAGCTAAGTTAAGCTTGGTTCAAAATATTTTAAATAAACAGTATAATTTCTGTTTTTATTAAAAATCAGTTTTGAAAAAATGATAATTGATTTTTAAAAGAATATCAAAGTAAGATTTTAATCTTTTTTATCAAATCGAAAAAAATGATTGAAAATGATTATCTGTCCTTTTTTTTTGACCAAAAATTTTTAACGAAAATTTCAGACGTGCTAGGAACGATTAAAAATGTAAAAAAAATACCCCAAAATACTTTTGATCTTTCCTCTTTAATAATAATATGAACATTAGACGATAAAATTTTTTTTTTTATCAAGTTCGGCGTCTTTTTCATCATGCTATGCTCATTTGTTTACATTTTCGTTAGGTGAGTTGTCCCCTTCCATTCTCACGATGTGTCTTAATCGCGTTTTTTACAAATTGATTTTATTAAAAAAAGAACTGTCTTTTTCCCATTTTCGGGCCCATTAGAACCACCACAAGGTAATTTTATGTAGTCCTGTGAAGTTTTGTTGAAATCGGCTAAAAAATGTAGGTTCTCGATCCAACATATAAACGTTACAGACACACACACACACACACACAACCTGCGTTTTATAATAAGTAAGATAATAATAATAATTTAAAGTATTTTACGGTTTTCTTATCTTAATGTTCCGATGAATTATAATTCTGAAATTAATGACAATAAATTGCTTGCGATTTCCACGACTATAAAACACATGTGGAAAAGCCCGCTGTTGTCTCGTTAAATATTTGAGTTTAAAAACGTAAAACAAAATATTGCAGTAACAATCATAAGTATAAATGAAGATCATTATTTAAAGGAGTAAGAGGGTACAAATCAAATTTGAAAGTGACAATTTTTTCCATTTCAATGAAGCGCACGTTAATCATATGAGAGCGTTATCACCTTTCTTTCATTCTCTCTTTCTTTCATTGAAACCAAACAGCGTTTCTGATTAGTCTTTTCCGTCTTTCCTCGCGAGCAAAACGGAATAGCCCATTATTGATGAGCTCGTAACACACGCGCTAAGGAACAAGCAGAATTATAGTATGATAATAATTCTACTAATTCTAGTACTACTACTACTACTACTACTAATAATAATAATAATGACGATAATAACAACTTACAGCACACAGCAAACTAATATAAGCAAAAAAACCTCCCCAAAACACCACCGCTTCTTGAAGATGATGCTATTACTTTATTTTGGGATTTCAACGTACATACCTGATCGCACTATCCAAGCTAATAGTCAAGATGTAGCCATAAGCGCCTTTCAAAAGACATGCATGTTATCAGACTGTCCAATAAAATATTTCTAAGAAAGAATTTAATAAATTCTCTAAATATAAGGTCCCGGAAATAGAAATGGCAAGAATGAGATATTTAAACGCAACTATTATTCCAGTAGTTGCAGGAGCACAAGGAATGATAGAAAAGAAGAATGATACACATAAAAAAATCCATCTTTATCTGAAATACAAAAAAATGCGCTAATGAATATTCCATACATACTTAGAAAAACTTTTCAAATAAATTCCTTTCCTTAAAAGTTTTCATTTACCATAATTTCCAGGTGATTGACTTGATAAATAATTGTATCAAACAGTGGTAACTGTTATTATTATTATTATTATTATTATTTGCCTAACGCGGTTTCCATAGTTCGATACAGCACGTCTGAAAAATGCCGCTTTTATCGTCGTCTCTACATCTTGTCAGTCTTTTGGCTGAGATCAAAATGTAGTATCTGTTCTCATCAGCTTAATCTGATTCTCTCTCTCCACTTCTTTCTTGTCTTCTTTATTTTTTTCATTGAAACCAAGTAATTTCTTTCCTCCTCTTTCCTCGCGATCAAAACGCAGAATAGTCCATTATTTATGAGGTACTGACAGGACATAATGATCGTGCTAACTAAAGAAGGGAGGGACGAGCACAATTATAATAGAATCATTATATATGTCTATGAAATATGCTTTGTAAAAAATAAAAATACTTTTGGTGCATTCCAATAATAATAATAATAATAATAATCAAAATACAAGGTCCTTGAAATCGAAATCTCAAAAATGTGGCACATGGGAACATCAATAATCCCGTTATTGTTGGAGTCATCGGATTGGATGGAAAAGATTCGAATAGACTCATTGAAGGGATTCCTGGAAGCCCATGCTTTAAAGAAATACAAAAAAATTATTCTCACGAGTACAGCCCACACCTTACGAAGGGCTTTATGTAAAATATATGTGACCTTAGGTGTTTTTTCCTGAAAAAAATGCTGAGTGGAAAATGTCATGATGCCAAATAAGTATCGGAAATAAAAGAATAATAATAATAAAACTAATGAAATCTAAAAATTGTAACACATGGAGACATCGACAATTCCAGTTGTAGTTGGAGCACTCTGATTGGAAAAGATTCGAATAGACTCATTGAAGGGATTCCTAGAAGCCCATGCTTGTGTGTGTGTGTGTGTGTGTGTGTGTGTGTGTTTATAATTGCTCAGTGGAAAACGTCATGATGCTATTTCCGACCTTAGGTCTCTGTTTGGGACCCGGAAAAAATGAGTACACACGAGAAATCAGGAAATAAAATAATAGTAATAATAATAAAACGAATGAATGAAAAAGATGTTAGTCATTAATAATTTAAAAATCAAAACGCAATTGTTAAGAATTATTAAGGAATGCAGAAAAAAGGGTCGCTCGAAACATTCTGCTATCAACAAAAGGAACAATGCCATAAAACAATAAAACAACTCTTGGAATGATAATGACTTAGAGAAGGAATTTTTCATGTGTGGTGAACATTAGTAGATGAGGGCAGTAGAATATATCAGCCGGAAATTTAGTTGCAACAACAGAAGTAACAGCAGTAGGTCGCGAGAAGAATTCTTGGAATGAAAATGTTTCATCTCAAACTTAAAGAAAGAAATACCTTCAAATGCTAACCATTTTGGCTTGTATCGAATCTGAAACAAGATTGTAGGTCTCTCAAGATCACGAGAAATAAAAAAAAACAAGAAAAAAACGTAATTTCCCATGATTCCCTAGTAAAAAGGAAACCGTCCTACTGGCGAGAAATTTAGAGTCATTCTCTTTTTATTGGATTTGAGAGGTTCCAAGACCACTGATAAGTTTTACACCAATATCATTTTCTCATGTTTAATTCTTTTGGAACCTGTGTTATTATAGCACAGTGACTTAAAACCGAATATAAAGCCCTCGAATCCAACTATTATCAACCCGATGTTCTAACCACTGATTTATACCTGCAATTTTTATTGCAGAATTAAAATATTTATGCTTTGAAATCAAACAACATTAATAATAGAGAATACTTTAGTGTACACCCCGTCTTCAGTTTATTCAATAGCTATAAAAATATTTTTAGCCCTATTAATCACAGTGAAGAGCGACGTGAATTTGACAATTTTATGAATAGGACAAAAGATAAAACTTAGAGAAGACACAAAGAAGTGTAATAAATGTATAAGAGCAAAGCTGTAAGTACCAAAATGTCAAACAAAGAAATGGAGGAAAGATGAAAATATCTTATAGGGATTATGTGAGAAAAACAAATGGACGACCGGTGTTTACAGGTTTAAAAGTGGGTTAAAACGCCTTTCTTTAAAAATGCCGTTTGACGACTGACAGTCAAATGTATGCCATTTCCTCGCAATTAGCTGAGACTACAATGAATTGGATGAAAGAAAGGACTCGAATTCCACTTAGCGGGTAGCAGATATGAAGAAGCAAGAAGCCTCAAATGTATTTGTTCCTTTTTGAGAGGAACGAAGTAAAGAATAGTTAGACAGGCGACGATTTAAAAAAAAAAGATTGAATATCAGTTCTACCGATGCTCTGCTACTGTGGCCTTGTGCCAGTTCTATCAGTCTAGCGCGGTGGTTCCCAAACTATTTTCGAATTAAAATTTGCTCGTACCTCACCAAATTTTATGTGATAAAAAAAAAATTTAAATAAAACACATATATATATATATATATATATATATATATATATATATATATATATATATATATATATATATATATATATATATATATAACGCGGATACGGAGTCAGGACATTGATAACTCTTCAAATTTGCGGACCGTATTTACTATATTCTTAATACTTGATATAATGCAAAAATATCACAATGATAAAATCAGTCAATAATTATTCATGTCTATTTATACTGGAACTCATGCAAGCAATTACAAATAATCCATAATAATATTTTACATTTTGAAATCATTTTTGGTCATATGATTTTTTGAAACTGTTTATAAATCTTTCATTCATCTTTCCAACCATTCTCCATCACCTGTTATCCTTTTCCGACACACCTGTAAGGTATGCCATACCATTTGGGAACCACTGGTTTAGAGGAATATAAGATTCAGATTTTATTCAGTCTGTTTAAAAACTTGGGAGGCACGGTGAGGTAATGGATAGCGGCTCAGATTGGAAAATCGGAGAGACAAGTTCGAATTCCAGACGAGTTCGTTTATGTATTAATACCCTTGGGAAAGGTATGGATCCATTCCGTCTCCTCAGATATGGTTAAATAACAGGACAGATGCTCTATGGCATTGGTTAGTAACCAGTCTAGGAGACGGAAAACTCTGAATCCAATCTACCTTGTAGGTCTTGCCTCTTTAACTTCTGAGCATTCATTGCACTATTTTGCTTTGAATGTCCCATGAACCACAATTTTGAGAAGTAGAGGAGTAGTGACCACAGCAACGGCGCCAAATGCACTAAGTGAATGAATGATGAAGGTTCAAAGGCTAACGCTGTTGTTTTGAATTGCAAAACAATACTTTTTTTTTAAAAATACCATCTCCTTTCAGGACATAGCCGATCATAGCAGTTCCCAGATATTAAAAAAATGAAGCTATGATCACCTATGCCCTGAAGAGATATGACATTAAAAAAATGAAGCTATCAATGGCTTTTTGTGTTGTACAATGGTTAAAGATCTTATACAATTCATTGTTATTGAGTTGTCTTCTTACGTGGTACACCATATTTGTGTCATCGTGTCAGACTAACTCATGTCTCTCTGTGTTCCTTGTCCCGTCAAGGAATAGTGTTCATGGCTCTCCACAGCTTCCTCACTTTTGTTGCTCTCAGCAATACATTCTCCTTTTTTCTTTATGTCACTTGTTCTATTTATTTGTACAAATTTAACTTCTTCGCTGCTTTTCTTTGCTTCTCTTGCCTTTGGTGCGCCATGTGGGTGTTAAATTCCCCGAGCCTTTTTTCTGTGTCTCCAAACCTTCTGTTGCCTCCTTCTGATTGTTTTTGTAGATTCTCTTCTCTTTAGAACTTTCTCATTCGTTGTCATCTCAGCCACATCTCACTTGTCTGAAGGCTTTTCTTCATTTGAGACAAACGTATCTAGCATTCATTGGAATATAAATGTAGGATATTATATAGCATTTTAACATTCTTTTCTTCCCTTCCAATTTTATATATTTTGATCCCTTAATACCTTAAATTTTATATCTTTTGAGTAACGATATATTTGCTTGTTTTATTACTTAATGAAAACAGAAATAAAATAAAATTTATTACATTTGAAGCTAATTGCCAAAAATGAAAAAATAAATAGCATTTATCAAGCAGGGACGTTATTACAGTTTTCGTTACTTACCCTCGTAACGTGTCCAACGAATGAAGGCGTTTCTTTTTTTTAGTTTCGACTGCCTTATCTCCATTGGCCACATCGGCCGTCTCTTTTTTAATTTCTTCAATGTCTTTCGCCTTTTCTGTATCTTTTTCTTGCACTTTTTCTTCGTTTAGATCATTCTCTTTCTCTATGTCTTTTGGCTCTTCACCATTTGCCGCTTCCGCCTGCAGAAAAGTGTCAATTCAAAGATCGAATCAATAATAATTTAAATAAATAAACGACAAATTCTGTCGGTCTGTGTGTCTGAAATCCCTCTTGCTCTAAACATATCAGAAATTTTTGGAATCAGGATGGTCCCAGGATTGAAAATCTGCCCTTTATCTACTGCTTGAACATCCAGCATTTGTGCTCGGATGAGGAGGGAACAATTAATAATTCAAATTTTAAAATAACTTAAAAAAATAATGATATTAAACGTTTTAATTTATATTAAGTTTAAAGGAACAAAAAATGTTGTGCATTTAAAAATGTTTGTTTTAAATTCAGTTTAAAATATCTCCAAAACTTTGTGAATTGAGGAAATTAATTTTATTTTTGCAAAATGCAAAAGAATCAGAGTTAACGTTGTGACGCGAGATTTTTAAGTTCCGTAGAATTTGTGATTTGAAGAACTCAATTCAATTAAAGTTCCACGGAATTTGTGATCTGAAGAACTCAGCTTTCGGGCTGAACTGGAATTTCGGCCCAAATCGAACTTTCGGTTAAAATCAGTTTTTTGGTAGGAATAGTCAGAGTTAAAGTGAAGATTTGATGTTCCATGGAGTGAATTGAGGAATTTAAAGTTATGTTTTTGAAATGCCATGGAAAAATCCAAAGCCCAGAGCTCTAAGGCAAAGCGAGAGAAGACCAAAAGAAACACCAGAGGAGGTACAAACTAGAAGACAAGCAGATGCTGCAAACTATAAAAGATCAAGTGCATCTGAAACATCAGACAAGGTACAAGCCAGGAGAGGATTTAATTCTGCAAGACATAAAAAAACATCTCAAACATCAGATAAGGTGCAAGCAAAGAGAGAATCAAATTCTGAAAGATATCAAAAACATCTCAAACATCAGATAAGGTGCAAGCAAAAAGAGAATCAAATTCTGCAAGATATCAAAAACATCTCAAACATCAGCGCAAGCAAAGTGAGAAATAGGAAGAGAAGGTTGAGCTGCAGATGATAGTGATCTTCATCAAGGAGAGAAGCGGATAAAGCAAGGAAGAGAATCAAGAGGTGCAGAAGATGACTGTCAGACTTTATCGCGGAGAGAAACAGACGCTGCAAACCAGAAAAGAGCAAGATCTTTCGAAACAGCTGATGAAAGACATACCAGACAGGTTAGTGATAATCACAATCATGCTAAATGGTGTGCAGCTTTTTATTTTTAGCCTGTCTGTGATGGCTTTTCAATACAACTGTGACGGTAACTGATCAGCTCATCCTAAGATATCTATTAGATCAATGATCATTCAGTGTAAGCAGTGTAATGACCGCTCGGCCACAAAGGATCGTTCGGTTAATAAATAGATTGTTGGACTTTGTCCATTTCTTAATATATGACGTCATTTGTTTACATTTTATACGCCATGAGCAGTTATGAATGTACAAGATTCATGGAAGATTGAAGTTTATAAGCAGTAAATTCAACCTTGCCAACCGAACGATCCTTTGTGGCCGAGCGGTCAAGGCATGTCAGCATAAATGACGGCTCTGTATAGGATGCAGGTTCGAATCCTGTCAAAGGACGAATATTTTCTATGAAAATTTCTCGGACATTCAGGCCGGTAAATGTTATTTAATACTATTTATTATAAACAGAACATTTACTTAAATACTTGTATCTATAAAAAGAACGTTAAACATAAAAATGTCTCTAATAAATATATATATATACCGTTTAGTTTAAATGCCAAATATAATTTTTAGAATTAAAAAACTGTAATCCCAGTATGATATATAACTGTGTCAACATTGCAATAACCAGATATATTTTTTAAAATTCAAATTACGTAACGATCAGTCAATACTCAGCACCTGAAGATTGCGTTGTGCATGAAACCCCGAGTCGTGTTATCATTGAGGGATAATATGTATATTTATTAATATATGCTTAATAGCTCTGTTGTATTATATCGAGCACTATTTTATTAACACCAGCACTATATCTGTGATATATTATAATTATATTTATATATATTTATATATGTTAAATCTGATGTTCCTTAACAGTTTCGACCACGAAGAGGCTTTACAAATCAAACGAGATCTAAACAGTGTCTTTAAACGAAATTCTTCTCGTCAAAATTTCCTCGAAATTATCATATTGACTTAGTTTCGCATGCAAATATAAACAAAGTAATTTCCTAAAGAAGTTAATTGGCTGTTATTTATTAATCCGACAGATTTTTATCACTTTAAACTTTATTTTTAGTGGATACTCATATTTGAATAGACGCTCCATTTATTTATTAAACAGTATATTTGTTTTCGATCGTCCGACCTGAGTATCGGAAAAACTTATTAAAGAAAAATATGCACTCTCCGGCAGGATACGAACTTGCGCCCCTATATATATATATATATATATATATATATATATATATATATATATATATATATATATATATATATATATATATATATATATATGAGGAAATATAGTTTTAAGGTGTAAGAACACGTTCAAGCACATTTGGAATTATGCTTGTAATGGCGTTGGTGATACGTTGTTTGAGATCATTTATGTTTTGTATCTTTTCCTGATACACGATGGCCTTTAAATGCCCCCCAAAGAGGGTTAAATTCTGGGGATCTGGGAGGCCACTTCACAGAAACAAAGCCGACCCATCCAAACACCGGGAAACTGCAGATCTAACCATTCACGTACGTGAGTACCAAAATGAGATGGAGCTCCATCTTGCTGAAAGTAAACTGGTAAGTTACCATCCTCATTTAGCAAGAATGGAAAAAACTCTTCTTGCCACATACTTGCCGAAGATACTTAGTGGCATTGAATATTTCCATCAACGAAAATCCGTGTCGTCTTCACTCATATGTTATACCATATGCAATTTGTATGTAAGCCATTTGCTTGTTCTCAAAATGCATATAGAAATTTATGGAACACCCTGTATATATATATATATATATATTTATAGTAAAAAAGCTTAAACACTAATATTCCATGGTCATAATTTATTCCATTGGAATCGTAAATACGATCCAATTCATCAGACCTACAAATTCAAAAAGAAAACAGAAAAAAACAAAAAACAACTCCGGGAATAAAATTGAAAAAGAGTGTATGTATGAGAGTGTGGGACGAATAGTAGAGTAAATGAAAGCTATATTGACGGGTAACAGACGAGAGAAGAACAGGAAGGTCTAAAGATGAAGTGGGGATTAAAATTTAACAGAGAGAAGTTTTAAAGAGGGGAGTCAAAGACGGTTTAAGTGAGAAAAATATGAATATTCTCGGATGTCTAAAACATTAAAGATACACTGGAAAAGAGTATACATTTTGTGGTGACATACACACACAATAGACGATATAATCTGAAAGATCAGAAGATGAGAGAGGAAAGGAAAAGAAAAAGGGGTGGGGAGGGAGATAGGGTGGGGGGAACTAAAACCGAAGGGCACTTATAAAAGAGACGCTGTGTAATCAAGAAAATTTGACAAAATTAATATCGACTACAGGTTACAAATCAAATATAAACATATATATATATATATATATATATATATATATATATAAAAACGATTATCTAGTCTAGCAAGGACCTATATTTCTATGTTCAAAAACACATACGTATACACACATACACATACACAACAACTTATTTATATTTACACGTACATACATACATATAGGCGTGTACACACATACCCATACATATCTATTTATCTATCTATCTATCTATCTATCTATCTATCTATCTATCTATATATATATATATATATATACACATAGACAACATATACACATCCATCCATACACATCCACTCCTACATATATATACATTTACACACATATATACATACGGACATATACATACGTGCACATAAACATATATACATAAAACCTTACACATCTCCATATAATTACATACACCCATCTAAACAAATAAACAATGTATCCCTTTATCTTTCAGTCTAACTATACATACATACATACATATACACCTATATACAGATATATATGTATACATACATGCCTAAACATACAAACACATATAAACACATCTACATACACATTTACCTACACACATATATATATATATATATATATATATATATATATATATATATATATATATATATATACATACATGTACGCACATATACATATCTATATATAAATCAAAATGTAAAATTGAAAAAATTTTGTCTCAAAATCAAAAAAAAAAAAATTAAATACATAGCGCATCACATAAACATACACAATGATACATATATATATATATATATAATCATAATAGCCATTCCATTAAAATGTCATGCCCGATGTTATTGAACCAAGATGGAACTGACTGATGAATTGGATCGTATTTACGATTCCAGTGGAATAAATTATGACCATGGAATATTAGTGTTTAAGCCTTTTTATTATATCCTTACTCTGTCCTAGACATTGAGTTCTACCTGGATTCTATCCTCTTGGTATTATTTTTTTTATACTAATATATATGTATGTATATATATTTATATATTTTAGATATATGATTACATATGTATGTGTATATTTACCACTAATATTATCTATCTATCTATCTATCTATCTATCTATCTATCTATCTATCTCTCTCTCTCTCTCTCTCTATATATATATATATATATATATATGTATGTTTCTATGTGCGCGCGCGCGCGTGTGTGTAATGGTAATTTTCCCACGCACGCATGGACTCTCCCAGCTATGAATAGGGGCAGTATATATATATATACATATAATTTTATATGTTAAAATACTTGTCAAATCAAGGAAACTTGAACGGATTAATTTTCGGAACCTGATCGATTTCACAACTGCGCCATTCTTCTAGACTCGAAGCCTTTATCGATAATGATACCATTGAGAATTGTGCAACTTACCAGTTCTGTACTGTGTTCTGCTGGCTCCCGGTTTGGAGACACGGCAGCTTTTTTGCAACATGCTGACTTCTGCGACCGATTCCTGCAATAACAATGCTAATGAAATCAACAATATTAAAATAACACTTCCACAAACAGAATCGAAAGGAATATAAAAGAAACGATTATTTTCTGCATGACAACCTAAACATTGATCTGAAATTTTCGCTGTATAATATTCGACTGATATTAATAATATTAAATACAATCAATGAAGGACATAATGAAAAAAATGTGATGACTTACAGAAAAATGGATATAGTAAATATATATTTTATCTTGCTTAGTGTTTGAAGTAGTTGATTATTGGGCCTTCTCTCGACTGATCACGAGTATACAATTAAGCGAAGTTAGATTTGTATTAGTAGAAGAGAAGTATGTTTAATGCTATTTCATGAAGGAAACACATTTGGATTTATATTAAATAATATGAATCGAATTGGTTTGTTGAATTCACTAATCTCATGATTTTTTTTGTTAGAAACAAATTGTAAAATATATTGATGTTTATATTTTTAACATTATCTTTCCTGAATAAAAATAAATAAATAAAAGGTACAATTTGGTTTACAGTTTTCTTAAGTATCAGCCGAAGAGGTGTGTCAAAACACTTGCAGCAAGTACTTGAAAGTGCGGGTAGTACAGCATTTCTCACACAGGCACAAACACACGCAAACGCACACACACACACATTTTTTTCACGTTCGAATGAACGCTAAAGCAAAACTGTCAGCCGTTGCATTTAATCGTAAAAAGAAATAAATCAGTAATGGATAACTACACATAGTTTTCGCCTTATTAGTTACACCCGGGATGATGATCTCAGAAAGAGATCGAAATTACTTGGGAACTGAAAAATGATTTTCACTGTTACAGTGCATTTCTTGTACCATTTGATTGTAATACACGGAAGAATATCCGTGAATATGAACGGATTATGTTAAAAATAAGCAGACATAATGTTTGTAATTTATTTAATCAGACATGCCTAAAAGAGAATTTGCTGCCTAAACACACACACACACACACACACACACACACACACCCACCCACACACACACACACACACATATATATATGTAATAATGTGGAGAAACTTATCACTCAACAACCCTGAAACGTGAAAGCACTACTACATGCGCTCACGAAACTTCGAAGTCGGCATGACAGAACCAATAATTTAGTTAAGTGATACATTTCTCCGCATTAATTCTATTAACGCTCTATCTTTACCTTTTGATATCGAGCACTTTATGACAAAAAGCTTCCTGCTTTCTCACCAGTAAACTACGGAAAAAGAATCAGCAATTTTGGTACCTAAAACTCTTCTAACTTAATGCTATATATATATATATATATATATATATATATATATATATATATATATATAAACTCTTACAACTTAATACTATATATATATGTGTGTGTGTGTATTTCATACAGTTGGAAATTGACGATTTAAGAATATAATAGATCAAAAGATATTTTCATATAGTGCTCAATATTAAAAGTATTAAAATAATATCAATATTAAAAATAGAGCATCGATAATATGATAAAATTACTTTTAATATCAATTTTGATGTTGTTTCCCTGGCTCTTAAGTTTCTTGGAATTGTTCATTCTTTAACAGATCCCTTGAAGAATGAATAATTCCAAGAAACTTCCAAGTCGGGGAAACATCATCAAAAATTGATATTTACAGTTAAGTAACTTTATTATATATATATATATATATATATATATATATATATATATATGATAAAGTGGATACTGAAGTCAAAACCAGGAGACAACAGTCTGTTTCATACTTTAGTGCAATCTTTACGCCATGTGTGTTGCGTTTTGTCGCGACTATTCATATATGCTGGTCAGTGGTGCATTATGGGTATTAAGGTCTATTAAGGTCTATTGTATTAATAGTTATTCGGTTGCAGGTAACGGTTATTCTAGCGGGGGGGAGTACAAAATAATTGTGGATTGGAATGCGGTTATTTGTAGCTATTGTATAGAGTTGTTTGTTAACTTTTTACTTATTTATTTATTATTGATTACTTAAATGTTGTTGATTATTATTATTATTACATTTTCTATTATGCAGAAACTAATGCATATATTAATAATAATCAACAACAAAGAATGGAATAATAAATAGTAATTAATAATTGTTACCAACTGCATTCAGATCGCCGCTGACTAAAACCTGGATAAGGAGGGACCATTGTAATGAAGTTGGCCTTGCGTTTGAAAATTTCAATTAAAATGGACACCAACAATGGACCTCACCAGGCGTATCTACTTATCGCCTTGTTAGATATTCAATAAATGCCTAGATTTCGGGCATTCAGATCTGAACTTAGTCAATATCCGTTCAACACACAGAGAAAATTATTATCAAAATGAACAAATATCTACTTACCTGTAAATGAATTTGATAAAAGACCAGAAAATGGCGACACCAAGCAGGCCACCAAACACGTAAAGAATCGCTGTACAAAGAAAAACAAGAGAAAGAATTCTAACAATTTAAGATGACAAAGACAAAATGTCTGCACTGTCCACAATACCTGCTGACAATATAATTTTATATTTTTTAAGCTTTACCATAGGATATTTCAAGTGTTATTGTTTTTGTTACCAATTCAATTTACATTATAAAGTGGATCTCGATTTGTCAGCACACATTAGGACACGAATTTTAGTCTTAATAAGCAGACATCACTGCTGAACAAAAAAAAAAAAAAAAGAAAAAGATTTTAAATGAATTCGGCTAGATAAAAAAATCTAAAATTCCCATCACCACTCTGTCGTATTGCACACTGGGTGCTCGATGCAATATAATAGAACTATAAACTATATATTAATAAATAGACATATTTTTTCCTCACCGATAGCATATATATATATATATATATATATATATATATATATATATATATATATATATATATATATATACGCCAGAAAATGAGAAACATTTTTTGACTCAGAATTTGCTTCATGACGCATCTATGTATTGTATTTTTCTACTCAGAGCAATTCTACTTAACCATATGAAACAACAGAATGCCAAAATGGACAAATGAAATTGCCTGAAATTAATCAGCAACTGAAACCGACATGCACTACATGTGCATTTAATGCCAAATCATCTGTTGGTTTCAGAAGCCATCATTAGTTCCCACGGCAAAAGCATTCTACGGCAGTTGTACCCAGGGCTAACACACCGAACGTGTATGTTGCATTTACCCATTTGCTGCAAAAATAAATGTATGTCTATGGAACCGTTTGAAAGCCCATGAGAAAGTTAATTTAAGAGAGTGATTATTCTCAACGTCGAGTAGACCGCCTACATATATATATATATATATATATATATATATATATATATATATATATATGCGCAGTACTTAGTGGAAAGTTCTCAATATCAGTGATAGAGTTAACATATTCAGTTGTATAGATTTTAGTTTGTGAACCTGGATTTCACGCTTTTGCAGTCATCAGACAAACTGAGTTTGCCTGATGATCGCAAAAGAGTGAAACCAAGGGTCACAAAACTAATATCCATACAACTAATATATATATATATATATATATATATATATATATATATATATATATATATTTGTTCGTCTTGGATTTGATGCATCTGTATTGTCATAGATTTCATAAACCTGGGTTAATCAGTTTTAATAGATCTGGATTATCACAGATTGTTAAATCTGTGTTTGTGTTGTCACAGATCTCATAAAAGCTGTGTATTGTAACACTGTATGTACTAATATAACTTAGTCGTAATCACATTCTTTTTGATTATTTTTGACTAATGGTTTGATTGGCAATTGGCAAGGAGGGAGGCACGGTAGAGTAATGAATAGAGGCTCGGATTGAGGAATCGGAGTGCCGAGTTCGGATTCCAGTCGAATCCATTACATTCACTTACGTGCTAATACCCTTAGGAAAGGTATGAATCCTCTCCTTCTTTCCCCAGCTATGAGTAAGTAGCAGGACAGACCGGCCTTGGATTGCAACTGGTCTACCTCAGAAAGAAATGGCAACTTACTGCAAGAAAAATCTGCCTCGTCAGTCATGTATCACATAAGAGTGTATCACACATGGTACATAACTGACTGATTGATAATTTCCCTATTATTTATCAAATCTTTTTAACAACAATAATTAAAACATTCCTTTGACAATAGCCTTATAATATTTTATTTATTTTATATATAAATATTATTTTCATATTTATTGATGCCTTTTTATTAATTTTAATTTGCTTGAATAGTCTAATTTTATATTAATATTCCTTTGATTCCAAATCCTGGGATAACCTGCAGAGAGGTTTTAATAATCCAGTAATTCCCTTTGGCCTGGAAGAGATCTAGAGTTTTATTCATCAGCCTTCCACGAGATGGTGGTTCGATAAAGACACCCAGTCTCCTGTCCTGTGAACAGGTCAAGTACTCCTATCTTTATTGTATCGTCCATTAGAAAGGAACGTCCTATTCACAGGACTTCTTTTTCCTACCAACGTACTGATTGGGATTCATTTTGTGACTTTCTTCAAGATGCCACTGAGATTGAGATTCTTAATGTTCCTATTGAGAATTTTGCCACAGAGATTTCTTCCTGGTTAGAGCCTGCATCGATGCTTTTGTTCCTTCTTGGAAATAACAGGTGAAAACTCAATCTTCACACCGGCCTGTTCTGCTTCTAGAAATCACTTGTTCCGGATGTTCCAGCGTGGTAGCTCCGAGCACAACATAAACCTATTTGTATGTGCTCGTGACAATTGTAAATGTGTCCTCAATGAGGCTAAGTCTTTGCTGATGGAATGAGGCACCGTATAGCGTCTAACAAGTTTGACTCTCGTGACTACAGGCTGCTCTGTAATAGTGTCTTAAATAAGAGTAAGTTTTCTATCCCTCCTCTCTTCATTCAGTTTTAGTTCTTAACATCTGCTGATTGAGCAGAATGTTTTGCTCGTAAATTCTCTTCCAATTTTACTCTTGACTCATCCGGAGTATCTTTACCTGACTTTCCACTTGGAACTAAGTCCGTATTAAGTGATATGCATATAACTCTGTCCATGTTTTCCGTTATTATCCCTAAACTAGATCCCCTCAAAGCATTCGGAGTTGATGGTATCCCTCAATAGTCCTTATAAAATGTTCTCTTCAACTGGCATCTGTTTTCTTTAAACTGTACAATAAATGCTTTCCTGCTTGTTGGAAATTATATTCTGTAGTTCCTGTCTTTAAGAACTTAGGTGAGCCATTTGATCCTTGTAATTATCGGCCTATTAGCCTCCTACCTCTTTTTGGTAAAGTACTGGAGGCCTTAATCAATTCTGAATTGGTTAAGCATTTCACCTCATAGGATTTTCTTTTAGATAAGCAACATGGTTTTCGCTTGTCTAGGTCAACTGTTGGCATACTACCCTTCTTCAAAAATTGAAAGGGGTTATGGTATTTCTGGATTAATTTTTGAACTGATTCAGTTTTTCTTATCGAATTGCAAAATGAAAGTTGTCTTGTTCGGTAACTCTTCTAGATCATTTTGCATTAATGCAGGTGAACCACAGGGCTTTATTCCTGTACCTACGTTGATCCTAATATTCCTCAACGGCCTTGCTGGAGGTGTCAGTTCCCAAATAGGCATGCATGATGATTACCCAACCGTCTATTCCTGTCCTAATAGTAAGTCTGATCAGTTCGGTAAGGTCAAATTGAAAGTTGATCTAAAAAATGATCTACATTCTGTTGTTAACCGGGACAAGGAATGGCTTGTTAATTTTAGCACCCTCAAAACGAAACTGCTCTATTTTAATTGCCTGAGAGAAACCTTTTTGATGCTAACCTTCAAAAGAGTGATTCATCGCGCCTTCTCGGACTAACGTTTTCCGCTGGCAGGAGATGGAAAGATTATATTGAAGGAATTGCTAGGCCTGCTTTGTTGGCTTTCTGTGTCGGCCTTGAAAACTTTCTCGCCAGACTCTATTTTACATATCTACCATTCGTCCTTGCTTTGAATATTATTGTCGTATCTGGTTTGGTGCTTCTGCTGTGTATGTAGAGATTTGTGATAAAATCCAAAGAAGAATCTGCAATGTTACTTGTCCTGACCTGACATCTCAGCTTCAGTCACTTTTCCACCGCCGTAACATAGCTTGTAAATGCCTTTTCTATAAATACTTTCATAGTAATTATTTTGGTGAACTTTTCTCTATGGTACTTAAACTTTATGAATTTAAGTGCCGTACTAGATTGGCAGCAAAGATTAGGATACTAGTTCGAATAATTTATGAATTGTTCCTCTTGAAGAGAAATCAGTTTACAAAATTATGTTTCATATGTATCCCCGAATCAATGTATTATTAATGAAACCCTTTCTCTTTCCTTTGTCTTTGCATAGAGTCACAGATCCTAACAGGGAAACGTCCCTCTCCAGCCGGTGAGTAAAATTATTGATAAAATACAGACATGCTTGATAAAATACAAAGAAGAATCTGTAATGTTATTGGTCCTGACCTAGCACCTCGGTTTCAGACACTTTCTCAACGCCGTAACGTAGGTCACCTGTGACTTTCCTATAAATATTTTAATGGTAATTGTTCTGATTAACTTTCCCCTATGGTACCTAGAATTTATGAGTTTAAACGCAGTACTAGATTGGCGGCAAGGTCTCATTATTTTCCAGTTGAAATGTCTAGATATACGTTCTATGCTAACAGTTTCTTCTTTCGCACTTCTCTCTTGTGGAACTTCCTTCCGACTTCAATTTTAATCTTCAAAAATTTAAATACAGTGTCAATCGTTATTTTTGTCTTCTTAATTCTTGTTCTTTTATTGTTCTCTCTTCTTAATAGTGTCTTTTCCTCATGTTCTCTAACAGTCAGTAACCTCTTTGCGTCTTAGTGGCATTGTTGCCTTCCTTGTGGTGAAATGATTAAAAAAAACTAGATTGTCACAGACTTTATAGATCCGGGTTGCCAGATTTCATAGCTGTGAGTTGTCATAGATTCCACAGATACGGATGTCATATATTTCATAGATTTGGGTAGTCATAAATTCCATAGATCTAGGTTGCCACAGATTTCACAGATCTGAATTATCACAGATTTCATAGATCTACACCGTTGTGCAGATTAATTCAAACAACCGGTTTAGTTTCCTTTCTTTCACCATACGGTCAGTTTTAGACCCACTGGAGTGAAAGGGTGTAATCGATTTCTACTTTTTCCTCAAATTAGGTCATTTGTAGTGATGTGCAGTAATATGAATCTATTTTCGGGGTGTATGAAGAAATTTGTTTGACAGTGAAAAATATTGCTTTATCCGTGATTGCATCAAATTTTTATCACGCCCAGACACTATTGACTCGACTGTTGTTTAGTTGTCCTACGGCCATTGTCTGCGATGGACGTTACTTCAAGGAAGCGTAAGAAAATTGTAACGCTTCACGAACACACTGGCAAGCCTTACAGTGAGCAAATCAAAGTACTATCGACTGGCTGGGAAATTCTCCTGATTTAAATCCAATCGATTAAGTTATGAACATTATTTACATTATTCGGACTATTGTCCTCATCTTTGTCGCCATATTTATCACAACGTTTCGGTCGTTGTACGCTCCGGCCTTCTTCAGGTGGTTGGAATGTCGAACTTAACCCTTTATTTTGCTCACTGGGGTAGACTATTCTAGTTCCACGTGCCATGTTTAATGGATGTCAGTTATCAGTTATTTCCTGTTATTTCTCCTCTGAAAGTTCTCAACTGCCTTAACCGGGTATTGAACTCACACTCTTTGGCTCCTGTCATTGGATCTAACCAACGCCTTTATCCACTGTGCCATGTGTCCTTGAAGAAACGTTGTAATAAATATGGCGACAAAGATGAGGACAATCGTCCGAATAATGTAAATAATGTAGATAATAACTAATCTCAGAAATATAGACAGATAAAATTATGAATTCTTTTCAAAAGCTCTTGTCAAAAATGCAGAACATTTCAATATTCAACTTTTACTTACGATAATTGTTATCAGGTGGATTGTTGATTCGTAAAATTTTACAGTAGCCATCAGAATAACTTGTGTAGTTGACGAACATCCAGTAATCTCCCCTTTCCAAAAAGTGATGCGTCATGCTGAAAAGAAAGAAAGAAAACCAAATTGACGATTTCCTAAATACCTAATACAGTTGCTACATTCTCCTACATGTGATTATGTATGAACGCAGATAGAAAAGCAGGATTTGAATGTAGATTTTCAGGTTATTATTAAGTTCATAGTTACAGACACATCCTTTATACCAAAGTCGTGATTTACCTCCCTTGTATTCAGCGTAATAGAACGTTCGCATTCTGAGACCCAGGATCGAATCTCACCATGGTCAATTTGTCAGGAAGGAGACTTCCTGATGTCATCGGACTGGATCGAGTTCGATCCCAGCGTGTGGCACCTTTAGAAAGTGCTTGAAAACCATACCAGGGTTGACGTTCTGGCCTTGTTTAAATTGTTGAATCGCTAGATAACACGCTCTTTCCCAGAAACTGTAACTAAGGTCTGCTCAGCATAGTTGCAGTATAAACCACAGGTGGGCTCTGTGGGTATTGAGTAAACACAAATGCACCTGAGCAAGCGTCTGCAATAGGGATTGGCTAGCCACCCTGGTAGACGGGTATCCTCGAATACGTGTGGCCAGCTATATATACAACGTAATTGATTTTAAAGTGACGTTTGAAATGCAATTTAGGTTATTTTAATTTTCCGTAAGTAAAAAACTGAAATTTAGTACATTTGTCAGCAATAAATCTCAGAATTTGAGAAATTGAATAAAATAAAAAGTTTTAGAAGTGTGGTCCTTCCATGTTCCAACAGCTCGTAATGAACGACACCTTTCATATTCCACCAGAAAGCAAGGATTTATTGGATAGTCTCCTGGTTTAGTGGTTGGCACTGGTTTCTCATTTTATCGACTGTTACAAACTCTGATATTTATTTATTTTTAGATGATATGAACTAGAATATATTTGAATTTAATGAAGCCAACAACGATTGGTTGAAGATTCTTTTTTCATACATAGTAATTTTTTTGTTGCTACGTCTACAAGTCTGTAAATCTTATTTCTGATTTTATTTTTGGGGGCGATTTTCTCCTAAATACTGCTGTTTTGTCATATATATATATATATATATATATATATATATATATATATATATATATATATATATATGCATTTGTGCGTGTCTAACATAATTCAGTCTTATATTATTTTTCCAAAACTGGCGTTGTTCGAGAAAATTTTGGGAAAATAATATAATTATTTTAAACACACACAAATGCATACACATATAACACATTTCGTTATTCATCTGATGAAGCCCTATTGGCCAAATGTATAATCGGATATTATTTTCGAAACATACTTTTATGAACGTTTTTCTAAATGTCAATAACTTATAACGCTGTCAGGTATTACATACTATCGACATGGAGAACGCACGGATAAAAACAATTCTTTCATATATATATATATATATATATATATATATATATATATATATATATATATATATATATATATATGAAATGGACAAAGACCGACAATTATTTTAAGACATTTTTATGTTTATACATTCTTTTTATAGATACAAATATTTAAGTAAATGCTCTGTTTTATAATAAACAGTATTAAACAACATTTACCGGCCTGAATGTCCGAGAAATTTTCATAGAAAATATTCGACTTCCGACAGGAATCGAACCTGCATCTTATACGGAAACGTCATATAGCCTGGCATTTACTTAAATATTTGTATATATAAAAAGAATGTATGAACATAAAAATATCTTAGTATATATATATATATATATATAGTTATGAAAAACTTGGTAATTCGTATGGGTAGTCTCAAGGAGGATGAAATCCTGAGAGCTCAATGTAAATCCAGAGCTAATATTTTAAAGGAAAACAGACCACTTCAAGGTTCCATTATAATTTATTTATTTCACCGGAGTCTTTTTAAAGGACTCTGGATCATCAGATAGCACTTCCAAAAGATGAAACGAAATGAAATAAAATTTTATACTTTTGATGGGTAGTGTAAGTTTTTGTAATTTAACAAAGGGGGTAATGAGGGGTGGTTTGAGAGACATGGTCGAGTTTAGAGAAGGTTTATTTCATATTTCTTTCAATAATGTCTAAAAAAATCTAGCAAGAATAAAATTAATTTCTTCGAAGGTTTTTTTTAAAACATTTAAATTACTATCAAACATTAAAATCTATTTTTTTTTACATAAATTGCTAAAACTATACCACCCCTCTCCTTTCTACGTGAAACCTATTTACAGCCTCTTTCTCTTTACTTACCCCTGCTTTCTCTTTTCTTTGTCTCTCTTCTCCTCTCCCTTTTCAATATATCACTTCCGTTAAGTTAATCGATCAAATAGGTCAAGGTCTGGTCCCTCCACCACCAATACTAAGTATGATTGAAAGAAATACTAAATAAACCCTCTCTAAACTCGACTATGTCTCTCAAACCACCCTCTGTTAAATTACAAAAACTTACACTACCCATCAAAAGTATAAATTTTCATTTCGTTTCGTTTCATCGTTTGGAAGTACTATCTTATGATCCAGAGTCCTTTAAAAGGGCTCTGGTGAAATAAATAAATTATAATGGAACCTTAAAGTGGTCTGTTTTTCTTTAATATATATATATATATATATATATATATATATATATATATATATATATATATATATATATATATATATATATATTTCGTTTCACCTTTTGAAAGTGAAGTCAGAGAAAAATAAAATTCTCTGGTGAAATAAATTATTACAAATAGAGCCTTAAAATGTTCTGTTTTTCTTTAAATTAAATTATTTGCTCTGACTTAACATTGAGCTCTCCGGATTTCATCCTCCTTGGGATTATCCATACGGATTACCATGATTTTCGTTATATATATATATATATATATATATATATATATATATATATATATATATATATGTATGTGTGTGTGTGTGTGTGTGTGTGTGTGTGTGTGTGTGTGTGTGTAAATCTTAGTATAAAAATATCGAAAATTGAGAAAATCCGCACTCAGTCGATGAAACCTCCTAAGGAATGGACGACCAAAACAGTTAAAAAAATTCGTCAAACGAAATTCGAGTTTAGGAGCCTTTTGTCAGTTACATATCTTTATCTATATATTTGGGGTTGATTTTAAATATAATTTTGTATTTTTAAGTATAACTTTACATTTTTAAATATAACTTTTTTTTTTTTTTAACTTATCTTTAAAGTAATTTTTTATTTTTTCATTTATTTCATTATATTTTTATTTTTTAACTGTATAATTTATTTTATTTTATATTTTTATTCCTAAATATTTTTATTCTTTCATATAACCTATTCATTTTATATTAAATATAACTTTTTTAAATATAATTTTACTTAATTTTAATATAAATTATTTAAATATGACTTATTTTTAAATATTACTTGTATATATCTTAATTTTAAATATAACATGCCTTTGAAATAATACTTTTTAGTATGATTTTGTATTTTTAAACATCTATAGCGGGACTGAATAAGATTGACGTATTTTATTATTTTTCGTCCGTTAAAATGACCTTATTTCTCATATGAGGTAATTTTGGATTTTATTGTGTTTTAATCATTTGCTCTGTAATAAATCGTCAGACCATGATTGCGTGTAGCATGAGACACCTTGTCGCCTCTTAGTGTTGAACACAATGTTCACTTATATATATATATATATATATATATATATATATATATATATATATATATATATATATATATATATATATATATATAATATTATTATTTAAAAATATTTTTTCATCCATTGTCAAGCGATCGCTTGACAATGCAACGAAACTTTTGAATTTTAAGTTTATTTTTATAATTAAATTTACAACTTTAGTTTCTGTTTTGTTTCTGTGTCGCGATGGGATCATATTTTTAAAAGAGAAAATAATTGTAATATTATGCTCTACTGTTTGTATCGAGCACTGTTTTATTTTTAATAAATAATAGCTAAGAATACCGATCATAAATCTTACTGTTCTTTCTTATTATTTTAATATATATATATATATATATATATATATATATATATATATATATATATATATATATATATTTTTTGTGTGTTTATCTTTACCTGACCTCCCTAGGCAGGATGTGACACAAGGTCTTATTTAATGAGGAGCCCATACACGCACATAGAAATAAAGAACACAAAATTTGTAAATCGAAAAGAGTCAAGGGAAATAATTCTAAAATTAAACTATAATATAAGATGGATTATTTCCCTTGGATAAAAAATACGATTTTGACGATTGTGGCCACCAAAATTTGTTGGTCGTGAAAGTAGTTTTTTTTCCTTTTCATTCATGGAAGCAAAACACGCCCCGAATGAACATTTTCCTTAAATTATTTCAGTACCATTTTTTTTCTTACTGATCATATTGAACTTATGAAAGTAAGCTTCTTTTTACGTGAAGGTAAAACTTGTTTAAACAGAAATAAAAGATAAAAATGCAGGCAAGACTCGATTTAGCCAGCCTTTGGTTCTAGGAAAAAAATATAGTCTCTGGCCTCGGGCGTTTAAAATCCATTTTATTTCTCAATTGTGTTTCTCTTTTCGGACAGAGTGAAACCTATTTGTGTCTTTGTCTGTCAACAAAGCTCAACTGAAAATATTACTGAGGGGAGGTGTCCAGTCTCCCGCCTCAGTACCACTCTCTCTAAAGAGAGGGGGGGTCGGTAGTAATACTGATACCAGAGCAACCCACGGTTGCTGAGGTGCTGGGCTAATTTTGAACGCACCCGTTATCACCACATAAAACTTGCCAGCGTGGGACAGCAAGTAATTAAACATAATTTGCATTCGGGCGAACAAATCTACATTTTATCTCCGTACTGTATTTCTGTCTACGGACAGAACACAACAAATAAATGAGTGATGCCTGGTCCCAGGGATCTCAACTGTGAGGCAGCACCTCCCTCATTACACCAAAGAGAGAGGGTTGGCTGAATATAGACGCCAGCGCTATTTTTTTTTTTTTTTTTGGGAACAGGGTAATTTTTTTAACTTGAC